CATCTCTTCCCTCAAGGGAGTCCATGGCACCTGGGCAAAAGCTTGTGGGCTCCAACCGGGTGTCCTGGGACAGGCAGGTGCTTGGCTGCCTGGAGAATGCATGGAAAGCAGCTGCACCCCAATGACCTTTACTGCCACCAGAGGAACCCAGGGCTTGCTCAGGTCCTCCAGGGAAGAAGAAAAGCTACAAATTTCCAAGCAGCTTTGAAGGGCAGGAACAAGATTTGTGTTAATGGGCACAGAGCCTCCTCCTGGCAGGTTTTGAAGAAAGGAGGATTTTTAAGGAGAATGTCTTCTAACTCAAATATCAGATCAATGTGTGATCCAAAGGAGCTCCTTGCATGCTAACAAGCCTTGTGCTGGTGCACCTGATCTCTCATGAGGGTATACTTTGTTAATGTGGTTATTGCGTTTGCAGTGTAAGGTGGTTTTAAAAATATAAATGGTATTTCTCATGGCAAAGGAGTTTCTCCTGAAATGGGAAGGAAAAAGCGAGCAAAGGCAATAGAGGAGGCATTTGTGTACCTCTGCCTGCAGCACCTATCCCCTTCTTGTTGGTGTCAGTGAAAATCCTCCCCTGTAGTTGGCAATGTTGGGCACGTGACTTTTCTTGGGTCCAGTGCTATTCTTTAGAGCACATTTTAACTGCAAGTCTACATATGCAGGGCTTCTGTTGTTCATATCCAGCTATTCAGCATCACCCACAACAGAATCCCAACCTCAGTCTCATGGGGTTGTTGTCACAGAGATAGTTTGAAAAGCTCAGGCAGCGAGTATTTACCTGATAATGATGTGTTCCCCTAAAACGTCTAAGGATACTCGTGTCTCCTGCCTCTCCCAGAAAGTTACCAAGAAATCTTGCAAATGCCAACACTTTTCTTTCGTGACAAGCTGCCCCTCTCATCTCTCCTCCTTATCATGCTGCCATCTCCCATAATCCTGCCAGGATGAGAGGAGGGTTGAATCAAGCCCATCTCCCCATCTTGCCATTCTTGCAGGCCCCCTGAACAGTTTCCTTCAAGTTTTGCAGATCAGAGCTTGGCCCTTTGCAAACTTGTAGATCTGTGGCTTGCCTGCTGCTATCCTGCAGCCTCTGGGCAGGAAAGAGCCTTCTGAGTCAGCCTCTCATTGCTGCCCACCCTACCAAACTGCTCTCCGAGTCAGTGTGTCACCTGACTACAGAGTATAGTGTAAGGGAGGAAAAAAAGTGCAAATGTGGGAGATGTATTAAAAAGGTACCTGTTCAGCAGTGGGGGCTTGGTGTTCCCGGCCCTTGGTGTTTGTGATGAGGAGTTTTTTCCCCAGACGAGTTAGAAGAGTGGTTCCGTTGGCCAAGTCCTCATAAAACATTATGCTGGTGGTAGATAAATGATGCTCGATGTCACGCCCGGAAAGTGTCTGTAAATGAGAGCAAAATACAGGGAATGTTAACTGATCTCATTAATCCTCTGGATTTACTAAGTAGGCTAAGTGCCTGTGACCTTTTTCCCTCTTTGCTATTAATGCTGCAGCAAGTGCAATATAGGGTAGAGGCTAATGGGAAATCTGGATGCAAACAGTGGGATCTTCCGTCCCTGCTGGCCTCTGTGACTGCCTACAGCAGGCAGCGCCTTGATTCGGCCAGGACAAAAGATTTTGCTCTTTTGTAGGATGACCTGGAGGGATGAGGCTCAGAGATATTCCAAACAGCTTGAAGATGCAAGCCAGGGCATAAAGACAATGTGGGAAGGAGGAGAGGAAGGAAGGAAGAGAGAGAGGGAGAGATAAGCACAGAAACAAAGCTAGGAACAGATGCCTTTAATGTATTCATGGGAAATACCAAAGCTGTGCTCTTCTTTCTTCAAATAACTGTGCTTCATGTTAATAAGTCAGAGAAGGCTTCATCTCAGATAGATTCCCTTTTAACTGAGTGAGTAAAATCCCTGATAGAATTTCTCTCTAGTAATTTGAATACTCAATAACATTACAGTGCCAACTACAGAAAAGAAATAGAAGCAATGAGCTCGCCTCTTTCAGAAGCACAGTTTAAACTGTGTGGGGTTACACAGAAGTCGAGTCACACTGAGAGTCTTATTTTTTCAAACTTAAATTTCACCAGGATACAAAAAAACATAATGGCTGTTTAAAAAGTGTTATTAAAACAAGAAAGGAAAAAAGAGAAAAAACCACCCTGACCTCATTTTCCCTTAACCCGCTATCATGTGGAGCAAAGAGAGTGGCGCGCACTGACAAGTCCGTGAGGTACTGCAGGAACTCTCTCCCCTTCCTAGAGCTGTTGGAGTAAGCCATGATGTCCTAGACAGAAAAAAAATTCAGCTTTACTAGAGAGTGACTGTTCACTCCTCTGCAGGGAGCTGAAAACATAAGACTATATAAATGAAGACGAAGAAATTTTCTCTTAATAGCCACAAACCAACTCTAGAGTGTTACTACAGAAGACGTTTGCATTCAAACATAGATCTAGCTGCTGATTTGGCCAAGCATAACTTAAACTGACTTGCAAGAGTGGAGCTCTTGTCATCTGTGAGGCTCCTTACACATATAATGCTTTTCTGAGTAGTGGCAAGAAAGGGACCCTTTTAATACTTTACCTTTTCCCCAGCAGCAATCCATTAAAATTACAAAGAAGCACCTCAATCTTTGTGGTGCTTAGAAAGCCAGAACCAGCTGTGTACAGAATCCTTTTTAAGCTAAACCTGCAGTAGCATTTAATTTCCAAATGAGTTTTAAAAAAACCCACAAAACTTCTTTGGAGCAAGCAGTTAGAAAAATAGCTACTAAGTTCTGATTTTGACAGTGCAGATTTGAACTGCTCTACCTCGTTTTGCTGGCGTGCTGGTGTTACCTGTATTTGCCGTGCTAGTAAAGCAAACACTGAGATACAACAACAGCAGAGCCTGCTTTGCTCAGCTCACTCCACCAAGCAATGAGCTGCTATGGGCCGTACCGACAAGAAGTTTGTCAGCGTTGGGAAGGACATCAGCACTTGCAGCAAGTTCCCGCTGCAGGAGAAGCCATCGCCCACGTAGCCTGGCTTGCAGGTGCAGTTCACATCTGGAAGGTGCAAAAAGAGATAGATACGTTGGCACATGTCCTTTGCTAGGAAGGTTTAGGCTGTCCTGTGTCTGAAAAACAACTTGCAGGCAACAGATTTCTTTTATAAAGTTTAAAAGAGGCAGAGGTTTATGCAGTGTTAGCTAGCAACCTGTGGCTGACCAAAGGAACCGAAATTTGGGCTGCTGCTCCCCTTTGCGCACAGGGATGCAGCAAAGCACCGCCTTACCTTTCTCTCGGTAGCAGAAGACATCCCAGGTTTCACTCAGGTTGACTCTTCTCCCATAGTCCACGATGCCAACGTACCCGAAGCCACACTTTGGGGAGGAGAAGGCAGTTGGGTAGCCCACTCTTTCTCCGTCTAGCCAGCCGGCAGCGCAGAGGTGGTACCTTGCCTGCAGCCAGCAAAGCCGTAAGGGAAAAAACATGGAAAGAAAAACTGACTGGTGGGGTTGGAGGTGAAGTGAACAATCCCTCTGGGTGCTCAGACAGCACCCGACCTTCCAGCGCTCTCTCTGAGGAGGGTCTGTCCATCCTGCAGCCTGCCCAGTGTGGAGTTTTGTGCTGTGGAGGCAGGGGCCTCTCTGAACGTCAGGGGTTCCCAAAGGTCTGTGTGGACCAAAGGAGCCTTTCCTGAGAAAAAACTTCCCAGACCCCAGGATCCCAGGCAGGATCAGATGTGGCTGTGAAAGCCAAAGGGGATGTGCAATCCTACCGTGTGCCAGCCCAACTTCTGTTGGTATGGGAAGGTCTGACAAAGCAGCTCAACACAGAAAATAAGTCCCCAGGAATGCTGGAGCCAGCCCCACCACGGACTTTGCTGCTTAGAGAGAAATATTTAGGCTATGGAGCACAGGGGACATGCAGCTCCGGCTGCAATCTGAATCTCCTTCGGCAACAGAAGGAGGTTTATGTGCTGGCTGTGATCCAGCTTCACATTTTGCTAAATATGTCTCTCAGTGGTGAGCGTCTTCCTTCCTTCTGCAGACAGGAAGGAGCCAGAAAGGCACAGTGAGTCTGACCCACTCTTCCAAAACATTTTACAAATTCAAGGTGTGTGATACTCATCCACTGACGTCAGCCATGTTTCTCTACAACATACTCAAGAGAAGAATGTGGAAATTGGTTTGCTAACTTAATAGCATTTGGGGAAAAGATTCCTGGAGCTATACATAAAAAAATTAAAAATAATCTAAGCATAGTTCTGAAGTGTACATTTCTTTAAGATGTGCTAATAACTATGAAAACACCCTGTCAGCCTGACTTACCATCTTACCACAATATCACTGGAAATAAGAACTTGGCAATTGGTTTTAGTGCTGTATAAGCACTGAATGTTGCTCACAGCCAAACACGGCGTGGGAGAAGGAAAGGAGGGAAGGCGAAGCTTATTAGTACAGAGCAGCCTCATCCCTCCCCATTTACTCTGAGGTTAGATCCGCTCCAGGGATCTCCTCCTGCAGCAAGCCAACCTTACCTTCTGCGCATACATCAACTGGTTATATGTGGCAATGGTGGCTGATTCATTGGCACAGGCCTCCTTCGCCTCCTCATAAGTCATTTTGTACTGTCCTCGTGGGGACCGTAAGTGGAAAACCCCAACCGTGGTATCTGCAAAGAGAGAGAAGAACCAGCTCTTCCTGAAGGAGTTTCCATGTCTGGATGAGGTCAACTGTGCCATACAAATACCTGTGATTTTTGTGAAATGTAGTTAGGACAGATTCATCCCTTGGGGGTGACATTCCTACCTGGAATGCCCTGATAATGTTGCTTCATATGTCTGGCATCCCAAAGTGTGTAAGCATGTGCCCTAGCTTTAATTTTCTTATTGTTTCAAGGTAAGTAAGAGAACTGAGTGAGTTTATGGATGCTGTAAGGATCCTGGCCATTGGCTTCAATGCAGTGGCACAGGGACGGGGATATCCCTGCCCCGGGGTGTGCATGGTGTGCCACCCTCACCTTGGAAGTGGAGGTCAGCACAGTCAGCATCGGGGTGGCACTGCCCATTGTCTTGCAAGCAGCGGTCGAGAGGAAGCTGCATCACCGAGCAGTTCAGCCCGTCGCCGATGTAGTTATTTTTACATTCACACTTGCGTTTGTCCTGGTCAGAAAGGAATAAAAAAGGCCAAGCCAAGTACTTAGCTGTCATAAAAGTGGTATTTCCAGCAACAGTCTGAGCTGTTGGAAAAATTTCACTTGAAATAGCCAGGAATGGACAAACAGGAAAGTTGCTCCTAACAACTTTGATTCAACAGACCACAAACTCTGACACTGACATTTATTCTACATAGCAAAACATTTACACATGCACTTGGATGCTTTGCTGAATTAATACCAAAGCATAATTCCATCCATAAAGCTAACAACATACGACTTGCATGACACATAATTAACAAAAACGGATGGTAAACCTGTCAAAATGATATGTAAATGACTGGGCATGGGGGTGTGAAAGGAATTTAGCAGGCCATTGATAGTAATAATTTGAGAATTATAAAACAAGCAGGAGTTGGGGACATCCAGGGACTGCAGCTGGAACAGACTAAGGGCAAGACTTTTCTAGATAGCTCCTGGAAGAGCTATGAGGCAAGCCTTCAAAATGGAGTGAGCAGGTGATCCCAAAACCACCAGGGCAAATGCTAGATCAAGTCATCAGCACAAGTTTTCCTCAACAACATTGACTGTGTGGGATAAGGAATTTGTATCATCATGTGGCTGCAGAGATTTTTAAACTGAGTCTGGCCAATCAACAAATGACACTATTCTCCCACCTGTTCCAAAATATATTTGGTTTCAGTCCAACAAATTCCTATTGCAAATAGGGATATCCAATTAGAGAGAGCTAATAAGGGGACAAAAAAATGACACATGCAAGACACCCCATCTGCTGCACTAGCCCTTTGCCTAGAGCAAAGATGTCAAACTGTTTCTCACCCCTCAGCTGAAAGGATACGAAACCAATGTGGAAAGTAGGCTGGAGATATGTAAATGCTGTTTTGGAAAACAGGGACTTGGAGAGGTACAGAGTGTGATCCAGCCAGAGAAAGGACTTCTGCTGGCGCCAGGAAGAAATGCCTTGCACTTCCCTTGCTGAAATCATCCAACTTACAGGTCCTATGACAGTGCAAATTGCATGCTCATGGCAGCCTCCGTTGAACCCATCAGCACAAGGATTTATTGGAAGGCATGTAAAGCCATCTCCTTTGTATCCTTTCTGGCAGTTGCAGAAGACTTTCACCCCAAGCTGTGTGCATTCAGCCATCCTGTGGCACCCTCCGTTGTTTTGCTTGCAAAGGTCTGCAGCTGCACAGAGGAAAAGAAAACAGGTGAGAAAAATCTGCTTTTAAAGAGCATATTCTTCCCAAATACAAACAACCTCCAGATTTTTAAGGAATACTAAAAACAGTAGAACATTTGTCTGGGGAAAAAACCCCACCTGTTTGAGTTTCCTGATGCATCCTTCAATTTGTGTGAAGGCTGTCCTTTAAGGCTCTGAAGCCCTTGTCAGGATATCCTTGGGCTAAGAGATTCTACTTTGTCTTTCAGTGGCCCAAGAGAGCTGCCTTTTCGGGCACTCTGCTCTGGCCAGGATGACTTTAGGCAATGTGAGATACCTGGCTCAGAACGAATGACTGTTTCTGCAGTGATGTTACTTGGGGAACTGCTTTGCCTAAGGCCATCAAAGAAAATCCTTTAAGTGAAACTCCGCTGTCTCCAAATCCTGACCAAAGAGCACTTCTTGCTCATACTCCTGCTTGGTAAAGCCTGGTGAAGCAGCCACTCGCCTCAGAAAAAAAAACTAGATCTGTATATATCCTAACTTTCTTTCACTTGCTGCACTAGGCAAGTTGTTCGGTTTGAGAGGCAACACTTCATACTGGATGGTAACCCTGCAAGTGCATGTGCAAGAGGGGACAACCTGCTGTCTTGTACAAGAATGTCCTGGTTTGAGCTAAACAGAACCAAATCGGTTCAGTGATTTTACTTTTTAGCTAAGTCTCTTCTGTGCAAAAGGGAGCTCACCTGTGCAAGTGATCCCATCCCCATCGTAAAATGGCCTGCACTGGCACGTGTTGTTCTCCATGCAGACGGCGTTGACGGAGCAGCTCGGGGAACACACTGGCTGTAGAGCTGTGGGGAGGGCAGAACAGCTGGGGTGAAGATGCTGTTTATATAGAGCCATGCCTTTGTTTCACGCAGGAAAAAAAAGTCATGCTAACTGGAAAACATGTAAGAATTTTTTTTTGGCTGCTTATCTCTGAGGTGATACCTTCCCTCACCTAGCCCAAAGCCCCTCCACAGGGGAGGTAAGCACTTATACCCCTGTTTCAGGAGGGGACATATTCAGAGAACAAAGCCCCTTAGCCTCCAGTGAGGGCCTCTGATGTTATTAACCCTTTGTGTCTTTCCTCTGTGCAAACCGTCTGTTGAATTGCAAGTGCTGTCAACCCGTGGCTCCATGTGACAGAATCTGGGGAGAAGAGGCAGAGACCTAGCTTGGTTTCACACAGCCGGCCGGTCCATCCTGTTTCACAGAAGCATCGTCCTGTTCCTGAGTACCCTTCGTCACACTGCCCGTTGGTCTTGCATTCACAGGCTGCGAAAAGAACGCAGAGGGATCACTTACAGAGCTGCCTTTGGGAAAAAGGAAAACCTTTCCTTAGAGAAACACTACCTAGACTGTCAGTTAGGATACTAGCAGTTATTTAGATAAATTTAACCTCATGGTTCTTCACCACAAGACCAGTCATCTTGCTCTGGAAGCGGTGTTGGACTAGATGATCTCTAGAGGTCCCTTCCAACTCCTGACATTCTATGATTCTGTGAAACAGTGGGCCAGAGTGGTTGGGCAGTTTCCATCCTTTAAGGTTTGCAAGCCCAGACAGGATCAACCCTGAACAACTGGGTTTGAGCTCTGAGACGAATATCCTTTGAGCAAGGGGTTGGACTAGAGGTCCTTTCCAATCTGAATTATCCTGTGATCCGATGATTTTATAACTATCATTCATCTGATGTACCTCTGAAAATGAGTATTGATCTGTGTTGTGATGGAGCAGCAAACTTCACAACGAACTGTGGCAGAAAGGAGTTAATGGCTGAGCTGAGATTCAGCCTGATTCTGTCCTAATGTGTAGCAGCTGCTGGTTGTGGGGAAGGTTTTTAGCCACAGAGAAGGAAGGTGTGTAGGGAGGGTGTCTTTTTTTGTTGCTTGGGAGAAAGTAAAGAAACCAAATATGAGGTAAGTGACCTTTGCTGTAAAGTATGGGCAAATTACTTCCTTTTTGTTTTCTGGTTTTAGATATCTTTTTGACTAAAAGCTTCTGATTTCCTTTTGTTGTTTTTATACATTGTGCCCTGCAACCTGAAGCGTAAGGGACTGATTTAATCTATAGATGATGTTTTTTTCCTCACTCTTTGGGCCCTGTGATAACTTGCACATGGAGTTCTTCTGAAGTAATTATTGGTGGCTCTCTGTTTTATAATGTAATGAAGTAACATCCTTTCTTGCCTTATCCCTCGTCTTGAAATATTGTTGTCTGAAGAGGAAAATTATGCGGGAGTGGGGAAAGTGATTCTATGAACATCTGGTCTTGTTGAAAAGGAGTTTTAACCTCTGGTTATTGAATTTTTGACTGACATTAAAGAGAAGGGGCTATAAACCATTTTTTTTCTGTTAGATACCACAATCTGGGTGAGACTACCAGCTCACCCAGTTTATGCTATGTTGTGCTATAAATCTGATTAAATTGCTGCTAAGCATGCGCTAGAGCATTGGTATCCAAGACTAGTGTTTTGCCTCCACTCCAAGGATATCTAGTTTTTGAACGCCACCATATGTGCATCACAAGCACTACAGGTACACACGGCTAGGATGGAAGGGTTAAAGTTTTAGGTTCCCATCTGAAGGCTTTATGTTGGGAAAACATGTAGATTTAAAGGCTGATATTGATCCTGGTTCTACCTAGTTTACATTTAAAACCACAGGGAAATGGATTATGCAAGATATTTCCTGTCCCTCCTCACATATTGCCTTCATCTCAGTCTTTTTTTCTTTTCTTCTGTAAAAGTATCATATGGTCCTGCTCTCCTGCAATTCTTGAAGGAACCATGTCCCTTAAATGCTGTCTTTACCTTTATGGGTATATGGGGGAGAGGTTGTGTTGTAGCTGAAAATGCTTGTTGACGGAGGCTCTGTCTCCATTCCTTATTACTCATGCACCACATAAGTACAGGAGGAACCTTGCAGAGAACCTGCCTCTGCCCCCAACCCTTCCCCCTGCTTCTCCCTCTCCCTTCTGAGACCTTGTGCCATCTCTCTCTGTAGAGGAAGAACACAAAATATTGGTGTTAAAAGAGGGGAGCGTTTCTTGGTTTACTTAACCTGCGTCTGACAGAATAGTTTAGGTGTGACGTGGGCAACAGTGTGGAAAGGAAACGAACGTACGCCTGCAGTCGGAGCCGTATCTGCCTGGCAAGCACAGCTCACACGAAGTCCCATTGAAGCCGCTGTAGCAGCGGCACTCTCCTGTCCCGGTGTACCCGTCGTCGCAGGATCCGTGGTTATTGCAAGGGGTCTCTGAGCCCCCTGGGCAAGCTGAAAGGTTAAAAAAAAAAAAGAAAGAAAGAAGTGGATGTTTAGCTCAAGCGTATGTTTATTCATTGTCACTGTTCATTATTTATTGTTCTGTAAAAGTTGTTGAAGGGAGAAAGGCCTGTACACGCGTTTCCGTTGGGGTGAGCAAAAGCAGCTGTGACGCTTGTGACTGCAAGCCTTGTGCTCCAAATTCCTTGAAGCATTTTTACAACTCCTGTCAGAAAATATTGTGGACCCTTGCAGCCCTGGGTCTGGGTGCTGTTACCTGGGTTCTTGCTCACTGAGGCTCATCAGTGAATGCCACTGCCCAGCCCCTACCTAGTTCCAGCCTTGTCTGTGCAGCTCTGTGTGCCTGTGTGCTGCCATGGCGAGTCCTAAGGGCAGCTCAGGCTGGACTGGACAGAATTGCTTGAGACCTGCATGTGTCTGTCTGTGAAATCCAGACAGAGTGAGCTGGCAGGGCTATGTGTCCCTGGACCTGTCTGCCAATAGAGATCCTAACCCAGATCCTGACCAGGTGTGCCCTGGTGAGACCCTCAGTGCTGCTCCCTGTGGGGCGGGCAGAGGAAGGACTTTACAATGCCTTAATGTCTGCTAACAAGCAGCTGGAGATGAAGCTTCCCAAACTGTTTCATTCCTGATTAAAGCTACAATTTCTGAGCCTATACCAGTGGTGTGCAGTCTTGCACGCGGCTGGGAAGTTGTACACTGTGTCTCTGGCATGTCCTGGTATCACTGCTGTGAACCTGACGTGCTGAAAGAACTGGGCTGGTGACTGATTAAGACTTGGTAGGCTTGGTTACAGCAGAGTAGTCGCTATAACATTCACTTAGTTTGCTACTAGCACAGAGTTTAAAAGCTGCTGTAAAATGTGGAGAAGAGGTTATCTGTAGTAGAAAAAGCAGTAATGCTTTCTGTGTATGTCAGCTCTTGCAACAGAGTTCCCATATCTTGTGGCCGGTCTCTCCTCATGTCCCCCCTCCCAACTCTCTCAGCTCAGCCACTCAGCTCTGTTTGGGGAGGGGGAGTCCTACCTTGGCAGTCTGGCCCGAAGTAGCCCTTGCAGCACTTGGCCACGTGGATGACCATGGAGCAACTCCTGCGGCAGCCATCCCTCTGCAGCCCAAAGGACTCGTACGTGCACCATTGGATCCCTTCCTGGGCATTGCATGTGCCAGCACGGGGAGAGGGGGAAGAACAGAGGAAGATGAGTGCAGTGTGGAGGCTTGGGTTTTTTCCTCTTTAAAGCATAGTTCCCAATGTAGGTCGAATCCAAATGTGATGTATGAAGAGAGCAGGTGTGAGGCCCCCACCTTCTCTTGGATTCCCAACTTGCTAAGCACCATTAATGAGGATGGAGGGGCTGCTCTGAGGTCAGCTACGGTGGATGCTGTGTGAGACCTACAAGTGTCCCTCACCACCAATGTCCACGGGCTTGCTCGCGGACAGCTTTGTCCTGGAGCTTTATGGCATTCACTGTTGAGGGTTCTCTTTTTATTTTTTTCAAAGCAACTACTTTTGGTTTGCTTGTGTGAAGTACAGAGAAGAGCAGGTTAGTTTCTTAAATGCAATATTTTAATCTATTACCTTTGCTTTTGCCCCTGGAGGACATTTAGAATTATGGAAACAGCTAACACAATGCCCCTGTGTTGTACAAAACAGAAAAGAAAAAAAGATATTAAAATAATCACAACAAAAGGGTATTTGAAATGGACAAAGAGTCTGTTTAATGAGAGCAGCAAATATGAACAGAGTGTAGGCTTATTATGTTTGAAATGTATTATAAGAACTCTGGAGAAAGAAGAGGGGAGAATGACAACAGAATAGCTGTGTTAATTTAGTGCCATGAAATGCAAGAAATTAGTTTCGATGTCACAATATAAATTCTGGAAGAAGAAACTTTGCTCTGGATTTAAACAAGCAGGGAAAAAATAGTAGATATTCTTCAAACAAATATTAACATGTGCTGCATCAGATCTGGATGTCTAATTGGGAGTAGAGATAGATGATTACTCCTCAGGAAGCGCTGACCAGATCTGAGGAAATATCTGTTTCATTTAAACAAATCATGAAATAAAATGTAACCTGAGGAGATCAGATATGCACAAGTGTTGGTTTTATAACTGAAATACAAATTTCAGTAAGCTTTTTAAAGATCGACTGTGTGATTTTTCCTTTTTTTTTTTTATTCCTAGGTAATTTTTCATACATTCGAATTGAAGTAAATTTGGTCTTGAAACCATTTCAAAGTGGGTTTCAGAACTTCCCGTTTGTGGGACACATCAAAGTTCACACTAACAGTGCCTGTTCAGGTGTGCTAAAGGATATTTCTGTGAACACAACAAACATGAGGGACTGAGAGCCTGGCTAACAGGCCAGACAGTTCTCTATCTTGTGTCCTTAATGTCTTGTGCAGCTGGGACAGCAGTGCTGTTCCTTTGTAGCCGAGAACTTTGTAAATGTAGTCTCTGTGACAAAATTCATAGTGTGAATATGTATTAACTTAACTACATGCTGGAAAAAATCTGTCTTTGCTTGTATTCCTGCTTGTATTTGTAAAGTACTGGTCTAGTCTGAGAAAAAATTACTAAAAACAGGTCAGGGATTGCTAAGGTGCTCTTGACTGAGACTGCTTATCTCACATGTTGCTTAGTGTGGATGCAGGATTCTGGGTGTTGCACTGCACTTCTTCACCTGCTGTATTGGTTAGAGCTAAGGTTAAGCCATCCTGAAGCAGTGGGACTTAGTAGAGCCAAAGCTGTTGTGTGAGTTGCTGTGATCCCTGAGGACAGGATTTGGCCTTTGCAGAGCGGCAGACCAAAAAAGGGACTGACCATGAAATCCATGGTGAAGAAGCTGTCGCAGCGTCCGCCCAGACTGGGGTCGGTCAGCAGGCAGTCGATACCATAGGCGATGCCCCCATCAAACTCCAGCTGCCGCTGCACGATCTTGCACTGCCCGTCGTTCAGGAAAAGTGCTCCCTGAGAGATGGGATAGGGAGAGGGGAGTGTGACAAGTCGTGAGCCAATATTCCTCGGGGCTAGACTGAATCCAGGTCCTGCATGGGCTACAGGGATAATCCTCCCTCTGCTCTAAACCAATCTGGGCACTTCTCTTCCAATAGCTGAATGCTGTAACATCGCAAACGGGAAAATCTTTTTCCTTTCTTGAAGGCAAGAGAATATGCTATCATGATATCCACAAGTCTACTTCATGCACATTTAGGTTTAGCCATATTTACAGAGGCAGATGCTTGTCAGGGATTATGTGGGTATGAACAAGCACATTTGCAAAATAAAACGTGCTGCTGTTCTGGTTTAACAGGCTGTGTGCACACCTGCGATATTAGCTTGTAAATACTTACAAATCAGAGTTTGCATGCAGATGCTACTTTCAGGGGGCTTTTGCCAAAGCCAGGTTCATCTTGGTAGTTTTCCACTGTGTATTTCATTGCAGGAGAAGTTAAAATGTGCTGCTATTTCAGTTTTGAGATAATTGAGAGCTGTTTTTTTGAACAAATAGCATTTTACAACAGAGGAAATGACAGCTCCAAACAGAGTCTTACAAAGCATCTAGTTGGCTGAATCTGTTGGAGTGGGTGCCCTGGTTTTGTGGCTGTTGGCATAGACCGGAGAAGATCGACTGAGCTTTGATGCCCGATCCCTTTCCAGGGACTGCGCAGGCCCAGTGGGGTCTGCGTGAGGTGATCCTGTAGAGGGGGCAAGGGGTAAATGTGCCAACGGAGTGAACACTTACAATTTCCCTGTTATCCCCACAGCTGATGCTGAGGTTGGAGCCCTGCAGGGTCTTCAGAGAGGTAGAGCGGGGTAGTTGGTAGGCCAACACCTGGGAATGAAAGAAGGGAGATGTATGTGCCTGGGCTTACATGTCTCCACACTGGCAATGCTCTTAAAAAGCAAGAGCGTACCGCAGCATCACGGATGATGTGGAATTTGAGGTACTGCACCAGTTTGTCTGTGTTGGACTTCTTGAAGAGAAAGTCCTGCTGCTCTTGTGGCAGGCCACGGATAGCTGTGTCTGTGGGCCAGAAGAGCGTGACGGGTTTGTGAATAGGATCGCTGATCAGCCTGAGCAGGTTGTTTTTCTGCAATATACCAAAAATTGGAGTTGAGGATTACTGCTCCCTCTAAAATGACATTGACCCTATAGGGTGAATGTGTGGTGTAACTGGGATGCAGTGGCCTGTGGGCTGCCTGGCCACCAGCCTGCAAACACCATGACCTTAAAAAACAGATGCCTGTGCTGAGCTGGCCAAGCTGAGTTACATACTCGGTTCTCAGAAGTGCTTCATCACCCAGGACTGGCCACCAAAAACCAGGCTGATGGCCCACCTTTGGGCTCAAAAAGTTATACATGGGTTAAACCTTGGTCATGTAATTTGACATATGATGAGACAGAGCTGAGTGAGGGGGAAAGGTGGCTGTGGATCTGCTTGTCATTCCCCCCCCCCTTCTGTGGGAGAGGGACTACATGGTGACTAGGGTTGTGTACTGTGTTGCACACCTTTTGGCTCCACTGAACACCATCCTGCCACTGATGTCATGTGCCATGTCTGTGTTATCTTCTTCAAGAAATGTATTTAAAAGCTTTGCCCAATGGCTGCTTTCTCTTGTGTCCTTACCTCTAGCAAACTGCTGAACAGGATGTATCCATGTTTGGCTGCAACCATTTTAAGGCTTTCCTACAAAAAAGACATATTTAGTAATTTATCTGATAAACACATTACATGGGTATTTAAAAAGCAGATATTAGCTTGCTTTACCTTGTAAGTCAATTTTTGTTATAAAATCAATACCACTGTGAAAATTTTGTGCATAAGTCCTCTTATACTGTTCTTAATGTGACTGTAATTAGAATCACAGAATGGCTTAAGCTGGAAGGGACCCTAGAGATCATTTAATCCAACCTCCCTGTCATGGGCAGGAACGCCTCTGAACTAGATCAGGCAATACATGGGGATTGAACGGGGATCAAACCCGCAACCTTGGTGTTATCAGCACCACGCTCTAACCGACGTTTAACCTGTTCAGCGGTGTTGAACAATGCTCATCTAAGGTCTTTTTAGTATCACTTTTTTTTGTGACTTACAGGATTTATACAGGTAAAACCCCATGATTCATGACTTACATGATTTATATGAAAAAGCCCATATAGAATAGAATCACAGAATTGTATCAGCTGGAAGAGACCTAGAAGATCATCGAGTCCAACCTTTGTCCCAGCCCTATCAATCTACTAGATGATTCCTCCCAACGCAACATCCATCCATCTCTTAAACACCTCCAGGGACTGACTCAACCACCTCCCTGGGCAGTCTGTTCCAATGGCTGACAACCCTTTCAGTATAGAAATTCTTCCTAATATCTAACCTGAACCTTCCCTGGCCCAATTTAAATCCCTTTCCCCTCATCCTATCAGTCTTAATTAGGGAGAACAGACCAACCGTGGCCTCTCTACAACCTCCCTTCAGGTAGTTGCAGAGAGCGATGAGGTCTCCCCTCAATCTCCTCTTCTCTAGGCTAAACAGCCCCAGATCTCTCAGCCATTCCTCATAAGACTTATGTTCTAAGCCCTTTACCAGCTTGGCAGCCTGCCTCTGTACCCTCTCCAGCACCTCAATGTCCCTCTTGTAGTGAGGGGCCCAAAACTGGACACAGTACTCAAGGTGCAACCTCACCAAAGCCGAGTACAGGGGCACCATCACCTCACCTCCTGCTGACACACCATTCCTGATACAGGCCAGGATGCCGTTGGCCTTCTTGGCCACCTGGGCACACTGCTGGCTCATGTTCAGCTGCTGTCCATCAACACCCCCAGGTCCCTCTCTGCCTGGCACCTCTCCAGCCACTCCTCCTCAAGCCCGTAGCTCTGCTGGGGATTGTTGTGGCTGAAGTGCAAGACCTGGCATTTGGCCCCTGGGTTGAGAATGGCAATGAACTGCACATACCTTCTTAAGGGGGAAATCCTGCATATGTGATGGGACTAGAATTTGGTTTATGACATGGATCACACCATTTGTGCCAACAGCATCACTAAGTATAATTTCAGCATTGTTGTTCAAAACCAGCGAGTTCTGGAAAGACAAGAACATATTTTCTGTGGGATCTGGTGAGTGGATGAGGCTGATGGCAGATATCTTTGGTACAGTGAGCCCAGACAATCCTTTCTTTAGAACAGCCAGTAGCTGCAGTTTTAATAAATTGCTCTTTGCTTTTTGAAACTATCATCCTACTCATAAATCCAGAGTTTGAAGATAAAATAACTTGTGTCAAAGCAAGGGTTGTACAACTCCACTCTTCACATAGCAGATAAGTGCTAAATGCTTTAGCTGAATGTGCCATCTTCTTTTAATGCTATTTATTTTTGTGCATTACAGGAGGAAAGGAAACCATTCAGATTTTTTTTAAAAAGCTGAATGAGAGCAGACTTCTTTATTATTGTTCCCTGCCTCTTCACACTCTGTTACCTGAGAGTAGCTGATGTGTATTGGGTCCCCATGGAGAGAGGTGATGTTGGTGACTCTTGTCAGGTCACTGTACAGCAGACTGGCACAACCCACCATATGGTACCGAAGGACTTGAGCCATCACTCCTTTGGCAATCCAGTCCTTGACCTGCAGCAGAAAGTGGGGGAGCAGCTGAGCAAGGTGTCTGAACCAAAAAACTCATGGCCAGCTCAACAAAAACTTCTGGTGCTCTTACTTACTCGTGGGTCGCTGTTTAGTATGTCTGTGCGAGGTACGAACACAGTGAAAGGGCCAGGGCCTGCAATATCTCTGATAGAGAAGGCCTGCCAAATTTAAGAGGACAAAGCAGTAATGAGTTGTTAATGCATGTAATGTGATGCAGCCATAGGGACAGTCCTGCTCGGTGGGAAGTAGTGGCAACAGCCCCGCTGCCCTTGCATACTGGGTTCCCCTTCCTGCAACACGAGGATGAGAGAAACTCTTGCACAGTGTGGAGTTCCCTTCCCAGCCCTGTCTGTCACCACTGCCCTTGGGTATCAAGTGGAAGATTTTTAGCTTATAGCCAAGTCTCCTTTCCCTCTGAAATAATGAACAGGAGAAGAAGGAAAGCTGTCAACGAACACTAAGCGGTGAGGAGGAAGGAGGAGGGCTATTCCCTGCTGGGTTTATTCATGTTCCCTTGCCCTTTTCTCTTCAGATACTCAAGAGTGGATATATGCATGTGTTTGTGCACACATTTAGCTGATAATGTGGTTGCTTGTATCTCGGAATAGATTAATTACTGTTAGAAGGACAAATGACCTGGGGTAGTGTAGGCACTTTGCAATAACTGCTGACAAACTAAGATAAGAGAGCTCTTCTAAAATGAGATGAAACAATCATTTTACCATTGTAGCACAATCAAAGCTGGAATAGGAATCTTTGGACTAGCAAGCTAGATTTGGGCTGCCTTGTGGCTTGGGATAAGAGGAGAGTTACTGCTCTCAGTCTCCCAAAAGCAGCGAGAACTGGTGCTGCACGTTGCCTGTTTAGCAACACACAGAAGCATCCTGAGACATTTCCAAGGGGCAACTGAAAACAGCATCTCAGTTTGGAAATACAGCACGGGTAGAGGAGAAGTAGTATTTGCTCACATTAATGAGATGAGCTGGAATATCTCAGACTGTGAATGGGCGAAAGCTTCAGATTTATGCCTTGTGTGGTGGCCTTACGTTTCCTTGGGGTATTTATCTGTATTACTAATCCTCTAGAGTTCATAGTTTAAATCAGAGTATCTCTGATATTAGTGATCTGATTAGCACCTCTGATATTAGTTTCAGTTAAGTTAAAAGATGTTAGCAGATTCCAGATTTATGTCTGCTCCCCACCCCATCCTCGAGGCAAAAAAAGAGAACACTCCCTACCCCCCCAAAAAAAAAGGAAAAAAAAGAGTACTTGATCTTTTCTTACCTCTAAATGGAAATAAAACCTAGATGTGTTGGAGTTCCTGAGAAGTTCCTGCAATCAAGAACAAGACTTTATAACAGTGCTGCAAATGTTGGGCAACCTCTGTGGAGTAAAACCAAATGCAGCACTTGGAAAAGAAAGAGAACTTCTGTCTTAAAATAGATGTTGCCCATCTGCATTACTCCTTTCTTTTCTTACCTGGCTCTATCAAAGAACAGGCTTCTTTGAAACCTAAAAGCATAAGTATTAACTCCCTAGTACTGTGGTCATAATGGTTGTAACTTTTTTCTTGTTGTTGTTTTGTTGTTGATTTTTTTTTCTTTTGGAGGCAAGTGAGGTTATTTTGCACCATCCTGTTCCTATTCCTGGTTTCTTGGATTGGAATTACTGCAAACTTAGCAGCTAGTTCAAGAAAAAAGTTACATATTTCAAGAGACAATCACTGTACTAAATAGCTATCTGAAGAAAAATAAGCAATAGCAAGCACATTCAGCACTTTACCTGGAAGATATTGCCTCGGCACTTAAATCCATCTCCAATGTAGTTTTTTTTGCAGGTGCATGTCCTTTCTGTCAGCTCGGTGTCATTACAAATGGCAAATTCACTGCAGCCTCCATTATTCTTGTAAGGTCAAAATTTAAAACATGTAATTCCTTCATTGCCAGGTGTACAGAACAGTTCTAGTTCACCACTTCCTCCCCCTTGTCCCACACTGTCCCAATGCATATAGCTTAGAAAGGCTTAATCTCAACATCTTTTTGAAACCAGAATTTACTGGAACTTCTGGCAATATATACTTTCTTGCAAAAAGTAAAGAGCATTTAAGGTTCATAAGAAATAATTTTCCATTTACGCAGAGGATATAGTTTTGATTCCTTCCTTATATCTTCAGTTCATGGTGCTATAAGGATCTGAAACTTTTCCAGGCAGGTTTCATTCTGGACCTTGCGGATGAGGCACGGCAGCATTGACTTACACCAAAAGGAACTATTTATAGCTGTAAATCACTTTTATGGAGCCAGGAGCTTGGATTTCTGGAGGAGCGTTAGCCGTAGGACTTTTTGTTGTTCTTTGTCTGTCTGATGGTGCAGGCCAGCTGGAACATGGACCAGCCATGTGGGCTGTCCTCTGAAACACCTCCTGTCTGCCCCTGGGTGCATCACCAGGGTGACCTAAGGCTTGGAGCAGCAAGGATGCACCTCACCTGGCCACCTCCCTCCAGGAAGCTCTCTGTGCTAAGGGGAGATGTTCCTCATCCAGGAGAGACATGCTGGGGTTCAGAGTCCCAAGTACATGCTCCCCAGTTAACATGTCAGTTTGCAAATAAGTTTCTATCCTGGACTTGAGAGCAAATCAGGAAAAACTGAGAAGCCATCTTGTTTTCTTGCCTTATGCTTGTTTCATGGTGTCCTTTCTGTTCTCCGTCATTTTTAGGATCCTTCCTCCTGAGCTACAAACAGGAGCAGAAGCTCCTTTGGGAGCTACTAGTGGGGCCAGACTGGTGGGTTTGGGTGCACGTGCTGTTTATTTGGCTAGCTTTAGGTGGACTGTTGGCAATCTTGGGTTTATCATAGGTGCTTTTCTGCACGGAGGTTTGCTAAAGTGAAGGCAGGTTAGTATCAGGTCTGGCAGTAACACTAACATAAGACTATCTATCTGTCTAACTAGCTGATTGGAAGTAAAGTTGCTGGAACAAGGCATAGGGAAAGGCAAAAGCATACAAAACCATGGGAAGCAGTAGATCGTAACTTTGAGCTCCCCTTCCTCCAGCTTCTGTTTTTATCCTTGCTCTTTAATCTCTGCAACCTTTCAAGGTTAGAGAAACTCTGCTGACAGGTCAGACTGAGAGGGCGAGAATTATTGCCACTGCACTCGGAGCACAAAGGATTAATGTGCTTGGGAGAGTGGATACATCCCTGCTGCAGCTTGCCAAGAAGCAGAGCGATGGGGCTGGCGCAGAAAACCACGTTGCTTGCAGTATGTGAGCTAGCTCGTGCAAAAGCGATGTGGCTGTTTCTCAGCCTGCAGCAATAGTGAGGGACAAAATGAGCAATGCCTTGGGAAGCCCTGCGTTGGGTAGGGAAATAAGGGAAATGGACAGTGAGGAGAATTCTGCCTTTTTATATATTTTTTTTTTATTGTCTTTTTTCCTCCCCTTTAACCTCCCCATCAAGACAGGTTTCCATTCTCCCACCCATCACCTCACCTGCTCTATCTCACCGTTCACTTAGGCCACCTCTGCTGCAGTTTGCAATGTTGCCATCCTGGATTACAGGTCCAGAGGGATGCGCTTGGCATGCAGCCTATGCGTGGCCCAGGGGCTGTGGGGCTCTGCTCTTTGTCTTGCCCCATGGGAGCTCTCTCCTGGGTGAGCCTACAGGCTGGGACCTCCGCTGGAAACATCAATGCCAGGGAGCCCAGTCCCTTGACCATCTCTTTGCCCCAACGTGGACTTCACAGGTAATTGTGCAGCAATGTGAGACCTTGAGAGTCTAATTAGTCTAGAAAAATTCTAGACTGAGAGGGGGATGTATATGCTGGCACTTGGTCATTTCTCTTGTTCAGGCTGCAGAGATACGGTCCCAAATCACGCAAGAGGACTTAATGACAGGAGAATATTACAAATGAATGGGTGTTTTGATCTACTATAGGTTATTCTTTTTAGTTCCCAACCACCTGGCTCCTAGAACAGCTAGAACTGCCCCCTGAGCATCAAAAACCTGAACTGTAGATTTGTTTTTTGTTGTTATTACAGGTAATGTGTGGTAAATCACACTCCCCTTTCTTATAATTTTAACAAAGCTCCTTAATTGCCTTGCCTAGAAACCGTTTGTTTGTGTTGTTGTTTTTTTTTTTTTCTCCTAAATACTGGAATGTTGGTAAGCCCTCTGTCCCAAATTTAGATGGTGGGATTTGTTATATGAACTCGAACAATGACAAAAAATTTGCTGAGAAGATACAACTTGCATTTTACCACTACAAACCAGAGTTTGTTTCTCTAGATCTGATTTGAAGTGGGTTTTTTTAAGACTCTCTAATGAATCTGGGCACTCTGACTTGTGTTATGTCCATGCTGTGGTCCAGGAAAAGCCCTTACTGAATAGTTCGTTTCTAAAATAGGGACAGCACTGAAACATGTACTGAGCCAAGCACATGAAAAACCTTAGCTAAGTTAACATAAATTTATCCTGGGCATACCTGACTTGGTTTTGAATGCATACAACACCTGAAAGTGTAACGATTATAACAAGACCTTAAATACTCTCTATATCTATACTTACTTGTGAACACAGACTGATATATGTGCATCTTTTACCATCTCCAGAGTATCCCTTCAAGCAATTACATACTGCCTACAAAGCAAAACCAGAAAACATGCATAATATGGAAAGATGTTTGATTTCTTTTTTTCAGCACACTTACATTTAATTTACTCTTCTCTTGCTAGATTATTTCATAGTGATACGGTGTACAATTTATTAAACTAAAATTACATCATCTTTCCTGCAGCAGTTTCTTAGCCATCATAAGCAACCATTGACTGAGATTGGGGAATAACAATTTCCAAGAGGCTTTGTCTGCCCTTTCCCTCCGTACCCATCTCTTGTGTCTCTTCTTCTGACCCAGTCATTTGAAATGACCCCTCTGACATCGGCACATGGTCATCTTCCTGGCAAAACAGGCTAAACCCCTAACTTGTTTCCCTCATTTTATTTGCATAGATTGGTATTCCCTTCTCTTCCCTTGTGTTTTTCTTTAAAGTGGTGAAATATACCTTCAAAACACACATGGAATTGTGTGTTGGTGTTACCGACAGCTTCCTGTGCAATGGTGATAGATTTGATACTTACATCATAATTATTCTGTTTTGCACTTGCGGTTGTCATACAGATGAAAAAAATTAACATGGCTGCAAAGAAATGACTTGCCCTTCTCTTCGATTCACTCCTTAAGGATTCTCAATTTTGAATTTACATTTAACGTAGGAGATTTCTGCAGCAGAAGTAAAACTGCTAGGTGGTGTAGTAGCAGGGTTTTATGTACTTGGATGACTCAAAGCCCTACAGAAAGCAGATGCATTTCTGTACTCTGAGTTTGGCTTTGCTGCACAGGGATTTTAGTGGTGGAGTTTATTATTGTTAACTATTTTCCCATGGGTAAGGAAATCTAAATAATCATGTAGCTACCACCTTTAACCTCAGTGAGGTTATATGGAAGAAAAGAGCCGTAACTTATCCTGCCTAGAGGGATGAGGAAGCAGTTAAGTGGCTCCGTGCTTCCACCAGAAGTGTAGTGGCTTGCAAATGGCAGTCAAAGCAAAGAGTTAACTGATCAGTAATGGCTTTGGGGGGACAATATGAAATGCTGCAGTTAGGGTGTTCAGCTGCTTCTGAATCTGTTCTAAAAATAGAAAAACTAATCTGTGTCTCTCGATTGCCTGGGCTGGTTTGTTTCTCCTTTCCCTTCATACTACTTTTTCTTTGAAGAGTATGTGGTGCTTCTGCATGGGAGATGAAGAACAACAGAGGAGGGAGTGGATGCCAGTATGCTCTAACATCTATATAATAACCATGATTCAGTCCGTTTTGTTTCCTGGTGAATATGTTTGAGCTATGCTGGGAGAAGGACTAATCTGAAATGGAATTTTTCCGTCAACAGTTTCTATAAAGATGAAAGAAACATTTTCCGGCAATACTTTCAAACTGACAGGTTGTCACATCAAAGCCTTCCAAAGGAGAAAAACAACTGCTTCAAACAGCAAAACACTGCTTTCCTCTGCAGTTTTGCATTTCTTTTACTGAAATTCATTTTTTCATCTTTATCCACAATCCCCTTCAAATACCTTTTTGAGGGAAGCATATACTTTTCAGAACTTTTGTTATGAAATCTACTTTTCCATTTAGAAACAAAGTGGAGATGGGAAAATATTTTTTTTTTTTTTTTTTTAACCCAGCTGTAAACAGTTGGCCAGTCTTATTTATCTGCACTGACAAAGTACTCACTTGATTGGGTCCAGTCTGTGTGCACTCTGCATTTCTATCGCATCCACCGTTGCTCTCCAGACAAGGGTTGATTTCTTTATAAAACAGTAACAGTATAATATAAAAAGAGTGATTTCTGAAATCCCAGGAAGGGAGACTTTTAAGTAAAGCATGCTTGGAGTGCAGATTTATGTCAACTGTGAATCAATGAAACCTCCTCCTTTAGCTACTTGGTGTCTCTGTGTAGATCTTGCAGTTGTCTTGGTGAAGGCTAAAACCCTCCATCAGCATTTCTAAACACATACCTGGGCAGGTATGGTACAACAGGGTCCAAATGTCTTTTAAGCATTCAATGGTCAAAGGAGCAAAAGTGTATCAAGGTGCTGAACATGGGCTTATCCTTGTTGAGAGGAAGATCTTTTTCAGTAAGCTTTGTTGTCACACCACATGGCTGTAGGTGCACAGTTTGCCAGATAGCATCAGCCACCTGGCAGGTAGAGATGCCTTTGGCATCGGGGTCTATAGTATCAGGAAACTTCTACTTCTAGAGGAAGAAGGATCATCCACGTACAGGAAAACTCACTCCTGTAATTTTCCTCCATGTGATATATGAGGCATTGCAAACACTTACCAATGCAGACTATTCCATCCCCGGTGTACCCAGCGTTGCAGACACACGCCCTGTTGCCAGGTGTTGTTCTTCTGCACTCTGCCTTGGCAGAACAGCCGCCATTGTTGGTCTCACAAGCATCGATGGCTGAACAGTGACAGCAACCCAGATTAATGCAATATGCTTAAATGGCTCTTCAGGTGAAGCTGTCTTTATGCTTTAATGGGATTTGCTAACATTTTTCTGAATCTTTCTGATTTAAGAGGCCACAGACTTCACCAGTGCCAGATATTTACTACATCTTATTGACTACAAGAAGGAAAGGTGAGAAGATGCTTCCGATCTGGAAGATTTCATCCAGGACTGACTTTCACTAACTTCCAGTCTTGTGGTTCTGCCCACTTCAGCCAAGCACCAAAAAGGGGCCTTTGCATTCTTCTTTAGATTAAATGGCCATTTGAAGCTTTCCCTTAGCTTGCCTTTTTCTGCGCACAGGTCATATGACATTTCCTGCAGGAGGTCTAGAGTGTAACACCACCCAGTTTCCTGTGACAAAAACTGGTTTTTAATTCGAATGGATACTCATGTCTTTTCTCTGACTCCAGGTGAGCCAGAGGCTCACAAATTGACTTTGCTTGGGCTACCCAGAGAGGAAGCCTTTTCTGATCTTCATTGTGAATCAAATCAGCCCAAACATTGTTTGAGTTTTTGCCTCAAATCGTTCCAAATTGCTGTTTCAGCAGCTCTGTCAGCCAGCTGGGGAGATAACTTGGTACTCTAACAGGTTTTGCACAGGAACATCCTGTATAGAGGAATAAGGATGAGTGCAGAGCCACTATGCAGCTGTTCCTGCACATGGTGAATTTATCACTAGTAAATTAAAATGAGTTTTGTTGATTTGTGCCAGGAGAGAAAATGAAAGTAGCCAGAGTAAGAATGCTAAAATCTTGGGTTAGGACCCTGCCAGCCATTGTGAGTAGACAAATGCGCTTCTGTTCTCAAAAGCATTAGTATTTTAATCAGTTAAGAATTAAGTAAAAAAAACTGTAAAATAAATTACAATCACTGCAGCTGGAAATGGACTGTTTCGTAAATCTGGATATCCCAGAGTCTCGGAGGGACACCTAGGATAAGCAGCTATTTCCCATTTCTGAGGATCTCTCTGCACAAGTTCAGAAAGATGAGGAAATGGTAGGGCTATGCAGCTTCCAATAGCTGGAAGTGCTATTGTGCCCTGAATTGGCCCGTCTTTGCTGGGAAAAGGAGTAAAAGTCATAATCCAGGTTTCATTACTCTGCAAACAATGGGGCCTGGGCTGTGCACAGCATGTTCCCTTTTCTCTGGTCTCCCTTAGCACAATGCCTCGCAGCTTGGAGATTTTGAGCCCTTTGTTTGCTATGAATCTGCACCTGTTGGGCTTTTATTCATTCTGAGCAAACTGGCAGCAATTCCTGTTTTTAACTCGTACGTAGGGAAGTGCTCTTCTCTCACCAGCTCCACTGTGACCACAGAGTGCTTCAAGCATGTTTTTTTTTCCTTTTTGTTTTGTCCTTTTTTTGTCTTTAAAAAGGGAAGAAACAAAGTCCACTTGCCTGTGCAGAATGTCCCGTTCCCTGTAAACCCAGCTGCACACTTGCAATAGGCAGTACCATTTGATAGAAGGCAGCTAAAGAAGTAAAAAGAAGAGGAAAAAAAAAAAAAAGGCAGTCAAGTCTTCTGTACGGCCCCTATTTTTATGTGTTGTTCTGAAGGTAATGTTGCATAGAAATAACAAGGCATTTAACTATACAGTATGATGTATTTACAACCATTAAAATGGATTTAGTCAGATCAAGCTTTCCAAATGCCATTTGGATATTACTATTTGAAGTATTAAAGATGCATGCTTTGGTTATTGTGTTCTGTTTTCTTGTGCGGAACGCCAGAAGTTGCATGCCCGCTCACCTAAAATCTGAGCAAAATTTTTTGTTCGTGTGCACACAATTTATTGAGTATTGCAGCAGAGCTGACACATGGGGGTGGGAGCCAGGCATCTGAGCCTCCGAGTCCTTTGGGTTCAGATTGTTTTTAATTTCCTCCCCCCCCAGTTTGGTCTTCTGTATGCAAGCGTGGGTTTACTGTCTTATGAGCTCTGTATAATAAAGGGATTGCTCCCTGCTGTCAGCCAGGGACAATGTCACAACGCAGCCAGTACAACCCTATCCTTTTCCCCAACTCCTGCCATGCCTAGACCTATCCTTGTACCCTCAGGAGTACAGCAGTGGATGTATAAGGCTCAAGAGAAGAATAGTTTGCTTGTCAGAAATACAGGCTTGATGCTAGCATGTGTGGGATACCCCTGAGCAAATCTGAGGGTGGAATTTTGCCAGAAATAAAACCCTGGTAAAGTATCCTTTCTGTGAGCTGCAGTGGCCAAACACACGGTGGGAGAGAACAATCAATATCTGGATAAAAGGAGATTTGCTCCTTTAGTTTCTCTGTTCCTCCAGAAGAGCTGTGTCTGAAAATAAAGAGACTGTCCACCCATCTTTGTTGGGTTTTTTAAAATGTATTGGATAATGCAAATCTTGCTGTCTGGTCAATGATGGGGATTGGGTGCACTTCAGTACATGGCTTGATGGAGGTGACTTGCTCCTCTGAAAACTAGTTATTATCCCAGTATTAGTGGTGAGAGCAATTTTTTTTTTTTTAAAACTTGTAATATTTTGTTGTGAAGAGGAGAGCTATTTCTTGCCAAATACAGTTCTCTTTGGTAAAGTCCCTAGTGCTGATGGCATTTCTGTTATGTGTATGGTGGTGGATGGGGCAACTAGGAGGAGCAGATAAAGCCTGCCACAGAAACCCACTGCTGTGATTAGTCTTGCCCTGGCCTCCTGTTCCCTTTAGTGCTGCAAGCTCCAATTCTTTGTGTACTGTGTGGTAGGATGTCTTACTTCTGTCCCCCCACCCCCCAAAAAAGTATAAAAATATCCCATTTGTTTCCCATTTTAACATGCATATTTTGAACTTTTTGGCTTCATCACTGAATATGTTACATTAACATTGCTCATAATTTCTTTGGCAGAAAACATGAGTGTTTTCTATCCTGCTGAGAAGTCCTCATAAAGAGCGAGATGGATTATGCTTTTTGCATTGCGAGGGATCCCCTTTTTCTCCCCTTTCCTCAAAATAAGTGGCTTTCATACATACTTAGCACTGCTATGGCATGTGGCATTACAGGCATCATCTTTGATTTCTGCAAGAAAATAATAATTAAAAAAAAGGAACAAGATTAGAACTTTTTGGGTCAACAACCTTTTAGTTTCCTGGTCTTTTGTTCCCACCATGTAGGGCTGGAGTCTGTTATGATCTCTGCACCAGACAACTGTCCTCTGTATAGAGACTCCATCTATATAGATCAGTGGGTACCACTTAAATTCAGTTGTGAGGAAGAGTTATGTCACCACGTTGCTGGGAAAACATTTCACCTGTATTTAGTCTGGCAAATTTTGCACGGTCTTGATTTATAAACGTAGATTTTATAAAAGGGCTGAAATTTGCTCAGACGTAGCAAATCTAACTATATATTAATTTCATTATAGTTTTCTCCTTGAGTAAATTTAAAATTTCTATTGAATGCTATTATTAATGTGCTTATACCTTTTTTATTTTATACTATTATGTGTAAAGTTCTGAAATATTTATTTAATATGTTTTAATTATATCTAACGAAAATACAATTTTATTGGATATAGGAGCATTAAACCAATACAAAATGATTTATTTGCTAATTAATTTTTATCATATTAGCAAGGACATAATTTAATATCCAGTGTTGTATAGCTAAATCACCTCAATAAAGCATTTGAGAGGCTTTTGATCTGAGGATCAAAATTCGCTAGGTAACTGCTCTGCAAAATATATAGCCTTAATAAATGAGATATTTTTTGGGGGATAGATAAAGGGTAACACAGGCAGAGAATTAGCAAGATAAGGCACCTGAGTCTCATAAGCTGTATCTCAGCTGGCTCTCTTTTAGCCTGATAATTAATTGTCATAGCACAGGAGGGCCACCCATATTTCTCTGCATTTACAAGGCTGCTAGGTGTCTGGTGGTGCACTGGGATCTTGTCATGGCTGTAGTTCTGGCATTTCCTGAAACACTTACTTCTTGCACCAGGAAAAAAAATAATAAGTGAGGGGACACTTACCAATCTCACACATCACGCCTCTCCAGCCAACGTCACATTCACAGGAGCCATCCCCATCGGTCCCGCTGCTGCATTTCCCATGGACACAAGCGCACACTGTGGGGAGAGGTGGGAGGAAGCCCCTGGGCAGGGTGGCAGCGTGGGGAAGGGAGAGTGCGAGGGAGGGACTTCATCCGCTGGTGGCGCCTTCTGCTTTAGGCTATCATCTCAAGAAATGCTTTGGATTGTGCCTGTTGACTTTACCTACAGAATAAATCTAAGTATGCTTATATTTCCTCTGTCTTCTAATGCAGTGACTAAAATGGTATTTTCATGGGAAGGCACTGGTGAAAAAGCAGTGCTAAAGAGCGTTACTCTCATTGGGTGCTGTTCTAAGGCTGCAGTGTGCCGGAGTAGGAGGCATTGTCTATGATCTCCAAACAAGGGAATGGAGAGAAAACACCATAACTGGGAAAGAAAAGTGGTTAATAATGTTTTTAAGACTGGCCCATTACCCTGCAAGTGATGTACTTTTCCAGGATGTGGAGTGGGCATGGTTAGAAAAATCTAAGGCGAAGCTTTTGACAACTGACAAGACTAGCAAAGGTCCCCATGTGGTTCGGGGATGCTCAGTACCTTGATCGCAGTTGCGGCCGTATTTGCCTTCAATGCAGCTTTCACAGGCTGTCCCGACAAACCCTTCTTCGCACTCGCAGGTGCCCGTCCCATTGATGCCATCGAGGCAGACGCCGTTTCCGAAGCAGGCGTTCCCTGCTTTTCCTGGGCAGGGCTGGCACTGCTGCCCGAAGAAACCTGCGCAGCACTCCCTCCTCTGGAAACCCAGAAATGCCGTACTGAGGGTGAGGCTGACAAGCACGGCAGCAAGCATGTGGCTGCTGGATATCATGTCATGGAATTGCTGCTGGGTGGAGGTGAACTGGAGATCTGGATTTTTAGCAGTGCTCATCTCTAGCTGAGCTTCTTACTGTGCTGGGGTTCAGGCTGTCACCCCAAGCCCTTGGTGGGAGTCCGATGCCCTCCACCAGCCCAGGGAGAGGTGAATGGGGTTGCTAGGGACAAGCATGGGGTTACCCTTCCCAAACCTGTCCTCCCTCTTCAACCCCTTGGCTCCCCACTCCTCCTATGCTGCTGCTATTGGCAGCCTTTAACCTTCAACCTCTGCTGCACACAGAGTAAAGGCCAATAAATACGTTGCCGGGGACTGCCTTGATGTGCTGTCTGTGTTTAGCGGGGATTACAAGGAGGGTGAAGTTCAGGGATGGGTGTTCCTGGCTTTTACCGTGGCAGAAATGGTGTACTCACAATGACAGTTTTAGCACACTTTGTCTGACACCTGAGCTGGATGGTGTGTATTCCCATGTTGTTTTCCGAGAGGACACAGTATTTCTTCTCCCCTGCCTGAACAGAAATTAGAGAAACAGTTGCAATTCTGAGTAATACCAGTCAGCTACTTTCAAATGTTTTTAAAAAATGGGATGTTGATTTTATGCATGTTGTGCACTGACATATTCCCAATGAAATGCTTTTAGAAATCAAAATGCATTAGCTAAATGATTTTTTTTCCTGTGAGCATCTGATCAATTTAACTCAGTGCCCTGTGGCATTTTAAATATGTGTATAATACCACCTTTGCTCAGAATTGAATTTTTTTCCTGATGTTTGACAAGCATATTTTTTTCTGACACATTTCCTATTCTTCCTAATTCTTCATGGAAAACTGAGTGCCAACATTCTGTGACAACAGCTGTTGAAAAGTTAACTTTCAGATCTGGATACAGCCGGGAAAGTTTGCTCGCTGAAGAACTTGCTGGTCTCATAGTACACTTGTTAAGAGATTGAGCACACATCCATCCAGCTGTACATGGTAAAGGAAATGTTAATGATTTTGAGTTTTACCCGTAAGCCCTTCAGTCTGGCTTTGCCAGTCAGTTACTTTAACAGGGTGGATGGGACTTGGTGTGCTTTGGAATCCTATTAGTGGTATAATTAACTGAAAAAAAAAAAAGGAAGGAAAATATATAATCCCAGCGGTGGGGTTTTCCAAGAGAAATTTAGGTGCCAAGAAACTCTAGGTCATACTGTGGCTGACAGGGACCTACTAAATATCTGCAGTTCTCACGTTGGACCAGAGTAAAGTCTCTATAGTCTTCAAGTCTCCTTGTGACCATAACTTACAGCGTGCTGCTGGGGACATGTTGAGTTTGCCCTTCTGTACGTCCCTTGTTTGAAGGGCTCAAAGCTGCTTCTGTGATTCCTCCCAAAGCAAGCATGCTCCAAACCTTTGCAGTGCAAGGAGTTTCCAGTTGTCCCAGTACATACTAGAAACTGGTCTTTAAAGATAGAACAATCTTTAAGCTGCCCTTGATTCTGTTGCCTTGCTCTCAGAGTGGATTGAATCTATTGACTGTAAGCAACGCATGTAACAGGCTGAAGTAACTCTCATAACTTGTTGAAACAGAGACAATTAAAATCAGGATTGAGTGCATCTATGCTCAGTTTTGATTAAAAATAAATAAATTAATGATAATAATATACTTACAATTTCTTTTGTTCCTGGGGGACAACTTGATGTCTGTGAACAAATACTGCACTTTTCCTTAAGCAACAGAAATGGGAGGTAGTTAACAGACTGTATAGACCTTCAGGCAGGTTAACAGAAAATGCGTAATTTCCAGCTATATTTCTCAACCTAGCCCTCAGGATTCATAGTTGGTAAAGGTGGTGAGGGTAGCTGTATTAGTCAGCAAGGAAGAAGAACATCCCTACCAACAGGACTGTAAGGATGCTTCCAAGGGGAAGCACAAGGAAAGCTCTACGGTGTATTTCTCTTTACTCTTCTGAAGTGATGCTTCCCAAAGGCCTCCCCGTCTAAAGCACAATAAGAGGCAAATCCTGAGGTTGGAGACAGTTTGCCTGTAGCACAAGGGCAACAGCAGCTTGGAAATGGAAAACTCATACCATGTGTATGTCTGTGCTGTATGTGCGTGTGAATCATTTGCATGTGTAAGGTCAGTTTCTGCAAAATGCTTAGTTATATATTGCACCTAGTACATAACGTTTAATAGTATTACTGTTTAGCCATCTATGTCGTTATTTCAGTGAGATTTAAATGAATATTGAAGTATGTTGCTGCATTCAAACATAGCAGGGAAAATAATTTTCTGTTGGAAATTGAGGGACTATGTGCAAAGGACAGAACTGTCAGAGCAAAGCTGGGAAAAAGCCTTGAATGAAACATACTCAAATGTGGGACTGCATCCCAAGCAAAAGAATTAAGCTGCAAAAGTTTATGCATGATAAATTTACTTTAACTGAAGTAAAGCCTCCTTTTTTCTTCCTTGTTGAGGTCATTCCGTGCTCTGTAAAAAGGGAGGTAAGCTGCCTGTTTACTGTCCTATTTGACTCAATCAGGAGAAAAGACAAAGGAAACCTTTCTCTGACAATTTGAGGAAATCACATCCTATTCTTTAGGGGAATGTAAACCCACTTATATTTCATATGTGAAAGGAACAAAAGAGGGAGAATGATTTATTTGGAGGGTACAAGGATTTCATGAGTATGTACAGTGGTACTCCACACTTGGAATGAAAAGACTTTTTTTTCCTTACTAAAAATATTTTGTTTTCCTTATTTTTTAATTTTTTCCTGCTTGTTCACTTGGCCTGGTTAAGAAGATGTATTAGAAGAGTGCATTATTATTAAAGCTCAGGAATTGCTTATTCCTGTGCCACTCTGATTATATGTTATCCAAACTGTCAGTACACCAATTGTAGGATCAAAGATGCCTTAATAAATGCTAAAACTGTGATAGGAATATCCTTTGTGGAAAACACATGCATTTCTTACTGGGAAATAGTGTTATGTATTCTGTACGTTTGAGCTGTGTTTGACTATAGATTTCTCTGACGAGCCTTTAAGCATCTGTACAAACAGAATCACTTACAATGATCACTGTGTCATTGATGTCACATCTGTTCTTCCGGATTTCCAGGACTTTTCCCAATCCATGAATAATTCCTTTGTCTGTTGCAACATTTGTATAACTTATAGGCGCATCATTTATGAATAGCTGCAAACAAAATCAGTCGGTAAGAAAGTAGCAGAGCTGTTGGGTAGCTGTGTGGTAACTAGCACAGTAGCAGGTGAAAGAAGGAGCAATGACAAGTCTCGCTTGAGGAAAACTTATGAACGTAGTTAACTTCAACCACTTGCCCCCATCCCAGTTGCTGCATTTAAGAGCATCACTGGACTGGAGGGCAGGAGATGACTTGCAGCCTGTTGAATTTGCTTAACAACAGGATTTGGCAGAGCAGCTTTTTCTGTGGGGTGTAAAGGTAAAGGTTTGAAGAAGGAGCCTAAAGCAAGCCAAGAGTTGGGTTTGATGTCTGGAAGGGATGAATGGCTTCAGAAAAGCCCTCCTAGCAGCTGCTCCTTCAAGGACGACTTTCATCGTCTCACTGCTACCCCACACTCCCATGATGGCTACAGCCCCATGAGCAGATGCTTTCCTAGGGCTCTGCCACGAGCAGAACAAATAGCAGGGCTGAAACTGCTCTGTTGAAAAGCTTTCTGTCTGCCTTTGTCTATGCCCAAAGGGAACTCTGGAACAGAGAAGAGGGAGGATGAAGTTCTCTTCCCAGCTGTGCCACAGAATTGGGTGTGTCACTTAATCTTACTGTGCCTGATTTTTCCATGAGTTGTGTTGAAAAGCAATTCATATTTACAGCCCAGTGCTTTGAGCTCCTAGGATTGAAAGTGGATTAAATCCACAGAAAATAGAATTAATGTTTTATAAGGCAGGTTTCTAAGAGCTCTTGGAAGTCAGATTAATGACTGCTTTGTGATGCAGACTTATAGCCGCTAGAAATGAACGTCCACCCCAGTAGTTTCTAAAACGCAATGCTAAATGTGAACAGCACATCTGAAATCAAATTCAGCCAAAGATCCCTTCAAAGGTGACTTTGGATTAAGCAGCTCTGAGAGAGGCATTGCATTTGAATGACAGCATTTGTGCTGTTATGGCCCAGAAGCTGATGATGGGTGCACAGTTAAAAGTTGAAGCTAGATTCATAAAAAGCAGGAAACCTGCTTTATCTAAGCAAGTACAGACAGCAGTACCTGGCCGTTGTGGAGGAAGAACCCAACCTGGTAGGAGAACCCTAGCATGGTCTCCCTGTGCATGCCGTTGTGCAGGTTGTTCTTCAGGAGCTTCTCATCTAGCACAATGTGATAGCGGATTTGGCCTTCATCCTGCAAACACACAATTAAATTCAGAGCTATGTAAGAAAGTATGAAATGTTATTAGCGATAATTTTTCCCAAAGTGTATAATCCAAATATAGATTGCCTGAATTTAAGGACAAGTTCCTCCAGGTGCAAGTTATTTGATATTTCTTACTGTGGAGAGCCCGCATTTCTGTCATAATGAAACTTTTATTGAATTATGTGGGGGATGAAAGGCTACTGAACTGGTGGGACCAAAGTTTGCTTGAGCCTGGTAGTGTTTCTCTCTGTGTATAGGCCTGGCTGACAGATTAAGGGAGAAGTTGGTTAGATGACTTCTTAGGACTCTGAACTTCATGAATTCATTTCGCATTAAAAGTTCATGTTCATGAGTGCTTTTATAATCTTTGCCATACTCATTCCTTCTCCATTTAAGAATCCCTAGATGAACATTTACAGTAATTTATGGGTTTGTGGGTTTTTTTGTTTGTTTTTTTTTTAATCTTTAAGGTCATCTTCAGTCAGTAAGATGTTAGAGCCATTTATGTTAATTGGAAGATTTCCTATGCTTCATTACTACAGTGCATTCATTTTTCATGGATGTGGTGAAATTGTTCCCTGCATATAAAAATTTTGTGAGGGATTCCCAAGGCTTCTACACTTTGTTTCAAAGCAGAGAACTCCAAGAGCTTTTTCTGACTTGGAGGATGAAGCAGAAGTGGAATGTGTGAGAGATTTGAAGATGTGAGAGAAACTGGGGTGTTTGGAGGGTTTAGGAGCTGCCTGGTATTGCTTCAGGTCTATGATTTTGCAGGAAAAGGTGTTTGTAGGAAATCCTGTTACCTGCTGTCTCATTGTTCTGAATATTCATACTGCTCCTCATTCTTCCACTCACTCAAAAGTGTGTGAAAGCATGAAGCAACCCCAGTTTGCAAGATTTGTGACATTGCCTGGTTTTGCCTACAGGGTGAAGTACAGGTCTTTACATGTTTTACAGTAGGACCCATTCTATTTTGATTTCTGCAGATTTGACAAGGAAGTGTTTGCAGGCAAGAAGGTGGGATTTAAGATAGAGCTAATCCCCATCAGTGCCTAACTCTAATCCTCTTGATTTGGATGCTTTGAAGGAACAATTAACTATCCATCTTATTTTCTGTCTTTAATCACCAGTAGAGTGAGAACAAGACCTTGCTTCATCAAGGCCAAGAAATAGCGTTTCTTCCCTTGATGGAAGAGTTCTCTCAAGATGTTTCATGAAGAGGATAAGGCTTAGGGAAGCTAAACCTTTTCTTTTCTTTTTTTTTGGGTCAGATTACCACACCAGGCAGGGTTGGGAGGATGGAAGGAGGACAGAAGGAATAGTGGTAAATCATGGAAATGAAAAAGATTTCTGTGTGTGTGTAACTGCTGAGATTTATGTCCTATGTGTCTCTCAGAGTTTGTTATAAATGGGTTTTACAGTGATGCAGAAATGATGATGCTGTGTCATGAAACAACTGAAATAGTGTTCAAAAGTCATTTAAGCAGGTGTATCTTGATCATGCATGAATTCCTCAAATGAGGCAGCAAGAAAGACTTTTGCTGTGGTTTTGCCAGATCATGGTAAATGTTTTGGAATGAGTTATGTGAACCTCATTTTCCTCAGCTTCTTAGCTGTAAATGGAGATCATGAAAGTAGGGACAGAGTGTGTCAGGGCAAATATTTATGGAAGAGAAAGCGACATATTAATGTCGTTGAACGAGTCATGGGCAAAGCTTCCCCTGCAAAGTGTAGCTGTTGATACATGTGTTTGATAGAACTGTTTCAGACTGGAGCAAATATGAAGAAAGGCACTGAAAACAGATAGCTCATCTTGGGAGGGGACCGACAGGGTTGAGAAGGCTGCTTGTCTTTGTAAATACATCAGGGCACAAATGCCAGAGAGACAAAGTCATTTCAGCTGAAGCATACTCTTGGCTTAAGAATAAAGGGATATAAACTGGCTAGACGTGTCCTGTCAAAATAATATAAATTAGCTCTCTGTTGCATGAGGACTGGGGTCAGCAGAGGATGTGGGATGGACATGTCTGCACTGGTGAGAGGAGAGGAGTTGTTGGTCAGGTCAGGCATGAGCCTGGTGTGGGGCTCCTGGGTCTGGGCAGCAGCAACAGGGTTTGCATGAGGAAATTCTTCTAGTCAAGAAAATGTCGGAAATTTTTCTGAGCCCTGGGACTGGCTAACAGTGCTTTTAAACTGGGATTAGAAATGGTTTGCAGAAAGTGGCTGGGCAGTAACTTTCCTGCAGGAGTGACAGGGCAAGCATCTGGATAGTTTCAAGCAAGAGTCAGAATATTTTGTGGCATTATTAATGATAGGGTTGCCAGTGATGACAGGGGACTGGACTTGTTCATCTAGGAAATGCATTTCAGTGTTATTCCTGGTCATTCCTGTACTGATGATCTTTGCGAAAAAAAAAAAAAAGGGGTCTAATGATGAACTATCTGGATACTATCAACATAGTTTTAATTTAGAGAAGGACAAAACCCAGAACAAATACCTAAGCTCTTCCAGCAAGCCAGAAAGATATAGGTAGATCCATCTCTCCTCACCTCTTCTGGTGTTAAAAACAAAACCAAACTTACTGGATTTCTGGAAAAAAACACACCTCTTTCTATTTCTGTGTCCTCTCAATCCATCTACTTGAAACTAAAATGAGATACTGAGTTTTCAAGACAAGTCTTATGAGTAATACATACCAGAGTAGCAGACTTTTTATCTCTTAGGTAGTTTTCTATGGCATCATTACTTGGGGCAAAGACTGTGTATGTGTTTGCAGCTTCTATTTCATTTGCCAGGCTGTATTGCTGTTGTGAAACACATAAGAACAAATCAGAATTGACCACTGATAGACCAGATGTAAACAAAGCAGAAGTATGCTTCTATTCTTAAAATGGTGTGAAAGCTTACAATAATGTAGTCCCTGAAAACGGAGTAATCGGGCATTTGTTCCAGGCGGGCCAGCAGCCTCGGCATGACGGTGCTGTGGAGGGGAGTCAGAACCTGAAAAATGAGTAGATATCCTATGTCAGCGCACGTGCTGTAGTTGCTCCTCCAAGGATCAGATGCATTTGCTGTTCTGAGCAAATATGGGTTTCTTTTTTCCCCAAAAGCTGTTAATTAGTTTCACTGTTTGTGGCACAGAGGAACAAATCTCCTTGCTATGCGGTCGTGTACCTTATCAATAACATGTATGACCCCGTTTGTGGATGCGATGTCTCCAGCCACGATGTGAGCACCCTCGACGGTGATGTTCTGAAAGAGGGAGAGGAGAGAGGGTTTGCTTCCACGTCGTGGTGGTGGTTCACGCTGTGCATTTCCACACCTTCCCAAGTGCCTGCCAGGGGCTCCACCTCAGCTCCTGTCGTGCCAGAGACCGGGTTACCCACAGGGAAGGTGACTTCAGGACTCTGTGATCTTCCTCATGTGCAGATGAGGAAAGACATGGGGTTGCTTGCATAAGGTAGTTGCTTGGTGTAGGTGTGCTCACCCCCACCCCACGGCAGGATGAGCTCCTGTGCCGATTCATACCCTCCCGTGTCTGTGCAGCTCTGAAAATGCCCATTTGTGATTTGTCCCTTGGAGCATGGAGGTGGTGGGACCTTTCCTGCCCTTAATGGAGATGAAGTGCTTAAATGTGCCGTGTGCATTTCCAGAAAATCCTGCTCAGAAGATGGAGTATTAAATGAAAAGGAAGAGGGGGAAGAGCTGCCAGTTGTAGTTATTTACCATTAAAAATGCTTTTGGGTGGTTTGGGACTACCAGGTTGTGCACTGTATCACTGCTTCTTCCTACCTTCCCAGTTCCCTAAAATAAGTTATTGGGTCTTTGTCTTAAATTAGTTCACCTGGGCTTTTCCAGACAGGGACTGCGCTTCCACTTGACTGTGAGACTGTCCAACTTTTGCAGCAGCCACTGGGACATTAAGAATTAATATCGAAGACAAATTTCAGCTAGGTAAAGTGATGGAGAAAATCAAGTAAATGTCTCTTCCAGAGTGCCTAATGTAACTGATCTATTTCTTTAATTTTATGACACGGTGTTTTTTTTTAAAATACGTATGTGTAATGTTTGTGTAGTTTTGTAGTAAGAAAGTTGGATGCAGTGATGGTCAGGGTTTAGTGTATGATACCACAGTGGTTTGCAGGTTATCTCACCCCATTTTCTTTAGACAAGTGTAGGAAGTTGCTCTGTAGAGATGTTGGCAGCATGTCAGAAGATGATAAATTCTGGAAATCAGCAAAGCTGTAAGCTCCTGTCAATACATGATACCTAAAGGAAATTAACTGGATTTGAAGGTTTTGTATTTTCTCTTTTTTTTCCTTTCAGATAAATAGACTTAGGGTTAATAAAAATGTTTAAAGCAGGAGTTTTTTGTGCAATACCTAGTTCAGCTGTGTTCTGATCTTAGCTTGGCTGTTACACATTTCTGGCATAATACAAATATTGCCTTTGTTTCCAATGGAGTTGCTACAGAGAGATTTATACCACTGTAACTAGAAGAGAAATCCTGTGCCCCTCCCTTAAAAATATAATAGCCGTCTTGCTCTAGTGGTTTCAAACCAAAGGCTTGTTTGGCATGAAAAGCAATTAGTTGAAAACCCCCACACCACTAACGTACTTCAGTAGAGTTGGGATGTTACTCTTTGACATCCAAAAGGCTTTCTCATCTTCATCCATGCTATCAATTGCTTGGAGAGAAGGCACGAGGACAGTGAGGTTTGAGGTGGTGGACAACATCGAGTTTATCTCTGCCTCCTGCATGAAAGTAAAGAGAGTAAAATAATTTATCCTAAGGATGATCTATAAATAGCAGCCAGTGACTTTTTAGCAAGGTGGAGTATGTGACGTCCTTTGTGACCAGCCTGGAGAGGAAAAACTATTATACTGAGCAATGACTTGAACAAAAGTACTTAGAGCTGTACAAAAATGGTAAATGAGCGTCTATTTCTTACAGAATAGATTGCCAACCTTTAAAGGGCAGGAGCACTATTTAGGTCAGAACTGTTTTTTTGTTATGAAACACATAAGTTGTCTCCTGTAAAAGTTATTCTATCTCATAAATTCTATTTTACTCACTTGAATGCAAAAAACCCCAAAGCTGCAACGAAAAACATGGTGGTAAATATGAATGGTTACTGATAACTTCAGGTAACCTGCTTTTACCGATCACTCCATGCTATTTAACAGATAGAAGGATTATGAACTCTGAAATAAGAAACCCACATGACACAATGTTCCCATTTGGAATAAGACTATTTAACATGGCTGGAATTTTTCATGATATCCAAGGCATAACTGTGCCCATTAGCACTGCAGTGGAGCTTGCTGCTGACAGCTCTTATTTTAAATCAGGGATATGGGCTCTGTAGTGTGCATGGAGCAATTGATCTTCTGCACGTTTGTATCTGCTTTAAGGATGGAGAGAGCCTCCACTAGAGAGGATTTTTCCAGTTGTGTGGATTTTTTATGGTGGGGTAGAAAAAGGAGAGCTAAAGATTTAGATCTGATCTTGCTGAAGATGTGGTTCTCCAAACTTTTCACAGGCTCCACAACTTGCCATTTTTGCTACCACAAAACTTGAGGGAACAATATGAGCTTGGGAGCAATATGAGCCTGGGTTCTAACTTTCTGCAGCTGGTATGCTGCATGGAAGCTGGCTTGTTTTGGATAGTCCTTCAATATCCATACTGGGTTTTAACTCAAGAAGGGAAATGGCTCCCTTAAATAGCTGGGAATTTTTCCTCTGTTAAGATCATCTTTCTTTCTAGCCATCATCACTGTCACCTTCCAAATATTTAAATATAGAAATAGCAACAAACTTCCCTTTCTCACCCTTCCTGACCAGCAAGAAAAATATTTGGTTATGAAAAGTGGTAAACATCACATTCCTGTTCAAGTACAAAGCTAAAAGCCCCGCAGACAGATATACCTCCCTATTTTTGCTCATGCTTGTAGCTACCATTATTTAAGGAATACTATTTCTCTGAATTGTAGCAGAAACTTCCACATTCTCATCTCAACAGATTTTACAGAATTTGCTCCCTGATTTTTCCCCCCTATCCTTCATTATGTAGAGAGACCATTAGCAGATGAATATACTTTCTTATTGTGCTCATTTCTTTAAATTCATTAGTTTCTCTGTACACTGTCCAGTACTGCAGCTGAGGGCTGGGCAGATCACTGTGTTAGCCACACTGGCCTCTTTCAAGCAGCTACCTGAGGTTCCTGTTGCAATCGTGTGCTTTAATGATCCCCTGAGCTTTGAAAAGCATGAAAGCAGCTCATATGCTGTGACTTCTGTTTCCGATGTTATTTATTAACATATTTCTGATCCCTTTTGTTTGCTGTGTATTAGCTATACACTTCTTATTAGGTTTTGAGCTCTTTATGGGAGAAACTGGTTTTAATCTTTATTCATATAGTGGGGTAAGACTTCTAATATTATTGCTGCCCTAGTAATAGGTGATAGCATGTGGAAGTAAAAAGTAGACACTGGCAATCCAGAGCTTTTTGTTTGTTTCCTTGTTTTTTCATCTAGTTTGGTGTTTCTTCCCTAATCTGAAGCCAAACAAGCTAATCTGCACAGGCTTGAGTTTTTTGCTTGCTGTGGCAGCAGCACACTGACTAGCCATACGGTTATTCCTGGCATGGGGCTCAGTGGAAATGGGAAGGGTAAGGCATCGCCTTCCCTCTCCACTTGCTTGTAGAGTTGCTTGAGGAAAGTTGGAAGGAGCCACTTGGCACGTTCAGGCTCTGCTTGTACCCCATTGCTTGTCATCTGGACTGAAGTGTGTTTATGTTCACTGAAGTGTATTTACTTCTGCCCCAGAGAGTGGGCTTGTAACTTGCTCTTCTGCTTGTGGAGCTTCCTTATTTGCTTGAATTTGGGAATCAGAATTTGGATTTCAGGCAGAAACAGGGAACCAGATGATCAGCCCTGCTATGACTGGTGGAATTCCAATGCTTCTCCACAGCTTGGGCCTCTACCGTGTGATGGGAATATTGGTCTGAGGTTCCTATTTCTAAATACTGAAAGGCTCAAGTTTTTCTTCAAACTTAAACATACTACTGAAAAAACCCACCAAACAGCAACCATGAGGTGTACTTACATTAACCCATTGGTTAAAAGCAGCTGCTTCTGACAGAGTAGATAACTCCTGATTAGAAACAGAAAGAGAGAGAAATGAGTATGTCAGCTTTAACAAGTTATACCAAAGTACCCTTGCTGTAGCTCTGTCTGGCCTGGCTAATGTGACATGAAGGAGGAGGTTTTAAGTGTGTGTGAAAATGGAAGACATCCATGTTTTTTCTACTACTGATACTTTCTGGTAAGGGGAAGGGTAAGTTACCAACTATTTTGAAAATCAGCCCATTTATTGCTTAGGTGTCTTAGGTGTGCCTGACCTTGATATGTAATGTGTGCTGACCTCAGGCTAAGCAGTAAGTCTCTAGGAAAGCAAACCTAAATCTTTTCTTCAGTGTGAAATTAATTGAAAAAAGAATATGTTGCTTTGCTTGATATTTGTGAAGTATCTTACATGTCATCCTGCAAGTGAAGAGCTTTCATTCTGCCACAGTACTTCGAACAATGATAGATGATGGTATGAGCAGGGATGGCAGATAGTGATGTTCAGATTATTGTCAATGGCTGGGGAAGCTGACGCTTTAATTTTTCCTATGCTGTTAAATGTGTATTTATTTCACCAATTTACTTATTTTAGTTTTATTTGCCTGCCAGTCAACATGGTTTGTTTTAACATGATAAATTGACCATTTCCACTGAGATAGACCTCAAGGCAGAACTTCAGAAGATCTAGGTGCTTGCCACTCCCAGCTCAGGGGTAAGAGCTCAACACTTCTGCGCGTTAGGCCTCAGGGGCTGGCATTTTTCAATTTGTTTAAAGAAATATGCTTGGATTGCTTAGACCCCTTTCCAGGCTATGTTTTTAAACTCAACAGATCATTTTTGTATCAGGCAAGAGACTCCAGCAGGAACGCTGTCTGCAAATAGCACTGGTGGGCACTGTATATTTCTAACTGTTTATAATGCTGTTGTTATCTCTGTGGTTAAGATCCAGTGTGAGAACTGTGCAGTAGGTCCTATGCTCAGAGATTATCATCTTACTTACATCTGCAGCATTTCCATAGCAGATTTTACCATCTCCTTCGTAGCCCTCTGGGCACACGCACTCCCAGCCACGAGAAGACTCAAACTGACAAGTTGCCTTTGAACCAAAAGGAAAAGAAATTTATTAAATACTCGGGAGACCACTCAAGAACAAGGACGAGCTTTTGCTGAAACCCATTCCTACAGAAACGTAAACTTAACAAAGGACCTCTGCTCCCCAATGCTCTTTGCTTTAGCTCTGTCCCTGTGTCCCGCCTGAGGCTGGTGTAGCTCTTGCAGGCACTACAGAGCACAGCAGAGGCTGCAGGGCACCTAAACACATGCTGATGAAGCTGATAGATGCCTGTGTAGAGGTGTGTAACTTACTTAGGTGAACACCCCAACAGGCTAGTGCATCCAAATTGTAATTCCTGTTAGAGAAGCAGCATTTACATATTCCAGCCTAAAGATAGTCCTTTTGTACAGGTAGAGTTAGGAGCAGCCCTTGCAGTCTGTCCTCAGTACATGTACCATACTGACATGGTTCACACAGCGGTTTTCGTGCTTGTAGCACTGCTTGGAAACCTTTGTTCTATCTCAAACAGAAATTGCAGGCTTTAATTGGCAAGGAAATTCCATGGTGTGTATGGGAGGCGAGGCGTGATATGTATCTGAACACTTTGTTCAGGAACTGATTAATTACTCACCAGATGATGACATTTTCCATTTTGTTCCAGGCATGAGTTTACGGGTATGCATTCAATACCATTCCCCCAAAATCCATCCTTACACTTGCAGTCATTCTGTCGTTTCAATAAAACACAGCAATTCATTAAAATTATTAAAATAGCATGCAATATGCTAGACATGGTGAATTAGTCTCTCTGTTTTTCTGCGTAGCTCCATTGACTTCAGTGGAATGACACTGATTTATATCTCCAGAAGACCTTTAAACCTGACACCTACTAACGTACTTATTAAAAAATATTTACTGCTGGAACAGAACCATGTAGGAGGGAGGGAACTCTGGAATAGGAACTGAAGGAGAATGCTTTGAGTAGAGAGCGTTGTGTGGGAATAACCTTGTGGCTGGGAGGGAGAGGAGAATTTGAGGAACAAAACAGGGTAGGAAGCACCAGCAGAGGAAAATGGGTGAGGACTAGCACTAAAGGTGGCAATGAATGTGAGAGCACATACCTGGCCCGGCCCAATGTATATGCAGGAGGCATTTTCATGGCACCCTGCCATGGTGGGCAGCAGGCAGTTGTTGATGGCTGAGCAGTCCCGTCCGTCGCCTGTCCATCCTGCCTGGCAAACACACTCGTGCTCTCCGGGGCCTGTCTGGATGCACTCGGCCTGGGGGGGATGCAGAAGCATCAGTTCAGGAGAATTAGGTGGCATCTGGCTCTAGGTGTAAGGCTTGCCTAAGAAATAACAATGTCGCTATCTGGGGAAAGAGCTTGAACTGTAGTGAAGATTGTGACTCTTACTTCTCCATAAGCTTCTGGCCAAACCTTCCTTACTGCCTACTTTTCTGTGGTGTCAGGCTCTGTGGGAAAAGCATGTACTTACATTGATATTGCAGCCACCTCGGTTTAAAGCAGCGCAAGGATCAACTTTGCTGCAGCTCATGCCATCTCCCTCGTAGCCAGGTTTGCAAACACAGCTACAGAAACAAGAGGAGGAGGGAAGCATTAGACATGAGATAGCTGCAGTGAAGCATTTTCCACTCTAACATGCTTTTTATAGGCAGCTTAAAATTGGTAACCTTGGCTTCATGATGCGTATAGCTTAAATGTGTATTTTTTTTTTTTTCCCAAAATATTGATGGGTTAATTAAATCAAATCAGGGATCCATTCTCTGTGTATGAGATGGTGAACGAAATTAATTCTGTGCTGATGTGATCTTTCAAAGGTGAGCTAATCACTCTAAATTAATTATGAGCTGAGCTTGCTCTTTCTTTCAGTGACACAGAAGATGGCATTCTCCGAGAAGTGCATGCAAGACAATTAGCCCCACTGTTTCCCTGTGTTGGCGCCCCCAAGATTATCCCATATTGGAGAGAATTTCTTAAGCACTGAAGTTACACAGCATCCCCCATTCTGCTTTCTGTGGTGACTCATTATGAACGTGCTGCAGCACGAGGAAAACTAGCTGCGTGTAAGGGTGAGTGTGAAGCCAGCACAAGGCAGCTGTGGCAGTAACAGAGTTTTGTGACCAGTGCTGCCAGGGCTGGAAAGCCCGTGCTGAAATTTTCAGGGTTGTGGCATGTAAACCTTACCTCAGCTGACCAGAGTGAGCTATCTATTGCCAAACTGCTTCAGAGTTTCATTGTTTTTTAGTAAGGCTCAGACTCCTAATGCACTAAGGGGTGGTTAGCAATCAGAGGTTCCTAAGAGCTTTTGTAGATGTTAGTAGGAAGGCAGCCTCTGAACGAGGTTCAGATCTGTATGCGTCTATCTTATTAAACATAAGGTACAGGGTAGGGCATTGAGAACTCCTACTTACTGTCTTGCAACTCAAGGTCGATGCGGTGCATGTTTATGCTCATTTGCTGCATAGCAGTATTTCTGTGGCTGGCGCTTGTGTAACGCTACAACCAGCTGTGTTGATCAAGCAAATAGGAAAGAGCTGCAGCATAGTTAATATTAATTGGATGCAAGTTAGTGACTTACCTCACTGCACCATCACTAAGCTGACAGTCTGCATGTGCGTGGCAGAGCTGTAGGGAGGGCTCACAGGGAACGATCTGCTTATCACAGAATTTTCCGGTGTATCCGCTTCTGCATGACCCAGGAAGACAGATCCCGTCGCTGTCTATTCGGTTATCACACTTCCCATAAATGCAGGGGCACTCTAGCAGACATAAATTACAGTAAATTACAGTGGTAAAAGGCATCTATCTTCATGGAGTATTTCTTATGAATCGGGTCCTCCTTTTTTCTAGGATCTAAAGTTTTTGTATTTTTAAAGTCACTTTGTTGGGAGGACGTAGTATTTGTTTATCATTGTCTTTTATCATGTCCACGTGTTTTACCAGTAGCGATTTAAAATCTATTGTGTCTTTATAGTGCTCTTATCTATAAATGAATTTCAAAGTACTTCAGAAAAGTAGGAACAAAATGCTATGTCCTAGGCTATTAAGGCTAAAGTTATTTCATTGCCCAACTTTTGGCAGTGATACAAGAGGCCTTTTAATACTGAGTCCACAATCCTGCAACCTGCGTGGTGCTGGGCCAGTGCACAGAGCAGCAGCACAGACCTGCCAGCACTTTGCTGGTTCGGGGCTGATTAATGCTGCTGGGAGGCACAGGATTGTGTCTGAAGAACACAGCAGGTAAGCCTTCTGCCATCCCAGGAGGTACCAGTGATGATGAATTAAGCCAATATGTACTGCTTTGGCAGGACTAAAGCTTAAGCAATACCAGCTGTTCTTATGGATTTTGTCTCTCAGCTTTTGTCTGTGTACCTCCGAACCTTCAAGTAAGCTGTGCTTCATAAATGACAGGCTATTTCACAGCAAAAAGAATAAAAATTATATTGTAGGTAGGGGTTATATCTAAATTTGATGGTGTATATTCTGTAGACTTTCAAATGTAGAATGGTTTGACATAACAGGATTAAATCTGTCAGTATACAGATGACTGTTATAATGATGAACTATTTAATGGATCAGAAATTATTCAGTAAGGATTGTTATTAAACACAATCTGTTTATAGGTCTCATTGTTCTTATATTACATATGTTTGCCATTGCAGGCAGAATCTATTCTGCTGTGGGCAATGCCAGACAGGAGTAGAATAGAAAAGATTTTCTTTTCAATTGCTTATGTGAGGGAGACAGAGATGAAGGGAACAATAAATTAGTATAAAGCAAGCTATGGCCCCTGCAGAAAGCCCAATTAAGTCAGTGAGATTTTCACTGACTCTGGGCTTATCATGTATCCCTTTGAAATAAGAAATGAAAGTACCCTGCAGACATCTTGCTCATCCTCCAAAGAGACTGTTTAGCTAGCAGTTAACTCCTACCTTAATGCTACAAGGGTCCAAAAGAAATAGCCCATGCTTTTAAGCTGAGGAAGTACAGCTGTACTTACCTTTGTCACACTGAGGTCCGTATTTGCCAGGGTCTGAGCAGAACTGACAGCGTGAGCCTTGAAATGCCTCAGCACAAGTGCAGGTCCCATTTCCATCCAGGCCATCCATGCACTGTGGAATGGGAGAGAGGTGATTTCTACGTACAAATTGAAAAAAATCTTTATCCTTCTCCCAGAGGAGAGACTATACATCTGCCTGTATTATGACTACCGGGAAGAGCCTCAGCTTTGGTGAAGAGCGTATTTCAATGTGCAGGCTTTTCCTGTTTTCTGCCTTCTTTTGCAATTTTAAAGTGAGAATAGTGAGCTGGATCACCCCCTGGTGCTGTGCAAAGTAAAAGTACCAGAGCAGATCACATTAACTGCAGCCTTGCCCGTGTGCTGTGCATTGGAACCACAGAATCCTGCAGTTTGGACATCTGAGAAGAGAACAATTCATTTCCCCTCCTTCATATAACTGAACCCGAAATTCATGGCCGTCATGGCATAACTGGAGGTGCATCTCATGAGGAGCCTAACATTCCTGTTGCGCAGAAGTGCTTTAGGGACTTCTGGGACACAGCCTATCCTTCCCGCCACGGGAGTGCAGGGTGCTGCTGGATGCTCTGCTTACCTGCCCGTTTCCTGAACAGGGTTTGGAGAAGCCTCCTGGGCACGGACTGCAGTCAGGGCCAAAGAAGCCTTTGCAACACTTTGGTTCCTGTGAAATAAAGCAAATAACTCCTAATCCAGTGCCTTAGTGTGGAGGCAGCGCACAACAGGCAACTCTCCATCGTGTTTTGGCCCTCTGGCAAAGTCCAGTAAAGCTAGCTGGCTCTTAAGGCTAGTGTTGAACCAGAACCACCTCTGCACCGACCACCAGATCCTTCCATTTTTCTTATCAGACTCATCAGTATTAGAAATCTCTGTCCTCTCGCCAGTTACGAATGTGCCTGCGTGTGTCTGCTCATATTGTGCGCGTTCTCATATTTTCCAGTGGGAGCGCAGGGCAATTCAGAGGCAGGCATCCCCTTGGCATCCATGATCAGGAACCTGAAGATATGTTTTACCCCAGGGAGATGCTGTGAAAGCTGAACATGTTGCTTTGATCTTCTTCCTTTTCCTCAGCACCAGTGTGGGATTTAGCCACTACACAGCCTCTAAATGTTTTACTTGTCCGGATCTTTTGTTTTTTTCATTAATTGGCTGCTTGATCCATTTATTTATCAAGAGCACAAAAAGTGTATTAGAAAAAGACCCTCATTTGCATGTGTGATTCAAGGTAAATAGGAATTAGCAAGCAGCCCTCAAAGCTCACGGATTTGTAGACTTCTCTGCTTCTTGTTTCATGGTGATCATGAAATGCAGAAGTCTATCTAGGAGCCTCAGGAACCAGAAAGGTGTTAAGTACTATTCGGGGGCTAATGACTTCTGCAAGGATGAAACTTGCCAAGCAGAACAAGAGGAAAGCAGTTCTCAGGTGCGTTTCGCATTCATTGTTACCCAATATTGTGTGAAGTCCTGGGAAAGGAGGGGGCTACACAGACCTCTCCAGACATCTCTCAACTCCAAATGGAAAGTTCACAATGCAAAAGACAGTATTTTGGCAAACTTTTGTATATGTTTCACCCTAAGGAACTGTAACTCTATACCTTTATTGTGACATTGCAGGCTCTGGCACAGCCGTTTTTTTGAAAGATTGGGCCTTCGATAATGCATCTCCGTTTTGAAAAAGGCTGGAACATGCACAAAATGGAAGCATTAGTATTTCTATCAACACAGAGTCTTAGTGTTGCAACAGAAAGTACCTTGCTATAGTGTCATATTTTTTTAAAAAAGTTATTAAATTATGTATTTTCTCATAAAATGAACTTTCCTGTCATTATTACTGAATAATGGCATATAGGACTAACTACCAGTGAATATTTATAGCATGGTGAGTAAAATTCCTGTGGTAGCTGAATTTGGGTTTTGTATGTGCAAAAACATGCAGCCAGGTTTGCATCTCTTAGATGCAAAGCAGATGGAAGAGTTTTCGATCTCTTCCAAAGCTGCTTCTGCAGACAGTTACTTCTGGGAGGACGCTTAATCAAAAGGAAATTTTTAACAGCTGTGGGGTCTATTTTAAATGTATGCCCACTCTACTTTTCACTTGCTAACTCTCACAGCATAATCATATTAATTTGCATTCCTCACCTCTCTCTTCTGCCAAGCCTAACTCAAATGCATCTTAGCTTTACCTGAGAAAAGACTCAGAGCTTCTGTGAAGTCTATGAGAGAGCTTGAAAACAGCAAATAAAATAATGCTGAAATTACCTGATAATTCAATGATTGCCAAAAAGAGATTAAAGTACTGTCTACATTTGTATTTTTATGTAGTCTCTTGTATTCCCATCTGTTTCTTTTGCTCGCTGTATTGGGAGAACAGTAATCAATATATGGGGGCCCCTTCCCTCTATGCGTTTCGTACAACTGGGGAATCTGTGTGGAAATGTCACTTACGATGGGCTTTGAATCCTTTGGACAGGAAGCCAATGCATTTGATAAACAACTTGTACAGACACCCTAGACGGAAACAATAAAGATAGTAATTTGAAAAGGCATTATACCAACTGCTGAGATGTATGCTTATGAGCAATATACCCTGTAAATTTTAAGTACACCTGTTCTGTGACTTCTAGCTATTACAGCATGGCTCTGGAACTGAACAACAGCATCAGGGCTATGTGTGGTGGCTCTGATTTTTTGCTGAGTGGTTGTTCATTTCCACCTTTCCCTTTTATCTTCACTTATCCTTCACCTATTTCCTTCTTTTGAAAAGCTGGAAGGTTTCTAACCAGAAGACAAGCATGGGTACAAATGCACTGGCATCCTTTGCTCAACCTGGTATAATATATTAACTATTGTTGTCTGAGGTTCTAGTGCAGTCTGCACACTAAACTTCTATGAGAATTTTTTATTTTTTCCTAGGAAGACCACAAATTAGACAGTATGAACAGAAATTTGTCAGGTGTATAGGTGGTGAAGTTAAAAAAATTCTTTTCTTCCATGTCATAGATCCTGTACTCTTCCGTGATCCAGCAGTATATAGCTACTTTTATGTCTTCACCTTTGGTTGCTTTTGCTCACTAGCTAATTTATCACCATTTGGTGATGAGAGAGACTGGCAATTACATTACTTGGGAGATACAAACTCTAGTGGCAGTTTTAAAGGCAGGTCCTCTGACAGGCTCAACATGCAGTAACTTCAGAGAGGTTGAAGCTTTCAGTGTGTGGATATGGAGTTTGTCAAAGCCATGTTGCTCATGATGGCTAATGTCTTGTGTTTCAATCAAGTTAGAACAAATCCTAGAGATAATTACTTCAGTGTGTTTCACAATCAGTGGACAAGTGACCATGAACCTGAATTATGGGGTTTCCTCCACAGATTTGTCACTGGAGCTGCAGGGAGAGAATCGGGTACTTCTTTCGATTTAGTTGTCCCTCATGTTGTACAGCATGTGAAGGAATAGAAGTCAGGCTTACAAAAGCATTTAGGCACCAGATAATTGAGGTATCAATGTCACTACAATATTTTAAAGGTCTGTTGATCAGACTTATTTTGGCAAGTATGTTTGGGTGTTACAAAAGCTCTTTGATAAGCTGTATACTAATTTAAGCTCTTGGCTTTCTTTGCATTTCTGAAAATCCCTGCAGGTGCCTCTTTGCTTCTTTAGAACTTAAAAATCTGGCTGATTTCTGTGGAAAGTGTTTCTCACTGTTGGCATTGCTCTCTGCTGCTCAGTGCCTCTGTGTCACCTGTTTGCTCCTTTTCTTCACATGGGATGGTCTCAGCTATTGGCGAGTACCCGCTCCCTCCTTTCTCTGAGGATGGGAGTCCTGCCTCTCGCCTCTGCAAAGGACGGGGAAATGGGTCTGCACTTCCACATGAGGTCCAATCTGCCCATTTTCAGGAGTAGATTAAGATCTTGTCTTTGCACAGTAGAGTCTGGAGCACAGACACCTATTCCCTTCCACCAAGTCTGCTGTGGGAGTGATGACCTCTAGTATGAGATGAAGCAAGATATTGAGTCCTGTAGTTCTTGTAAGGGTGTACAAGTGCTAGTTCCTACAAGGTTTATTGCTCTTCACTGGTACCACAAGTACTATTTACAAGGTGGCATTGCTCTTGTTTCCTCAGAGTGAGGAAAGTGAATAGGTAAGAATACCAAACCCACTGCTCCCTTTTGCATTCTCCTTGGTAGCAGTGCTCTGCTTAAAGCCTTGGATATTAAACTATATTTCAAACTATGCATGAAGCTTTGAAAGCTGACAAAAGTTCCTGACTTCAGTCTGGGGAGTAATTTTTGTGATAGGTGCTATTTGTTTTGCTTTTAAATAATTTTTCATGGCGTTGCTTTAGGGTTGACTGATGTCAGACGTAGTCTGTAGGTAGGTGCCTGGTAGGGAATTCAGATCACTGGAGTGTAATTTGAATTTGTAACGTGTTGATCACTTTTTGTATTGGAGGTTGTGGTTTGGCGCTCTGCCTGGTTTATGATTATGTTGCACGTACAGCACTTTGTAGTTACTGCCAGAGGTAATAGTTCTTTAGTGCCAGCTCCTGTGTGTTCTTCATTAAATTTTGATGCTGTCCAGCTCTGCTGGGAACCTCTTTCAAGGCTATGGCTCTGGACTGTTGTAAGTTAAGATAGTAAATGTTTTGCACTAGTGTACCAGAACTGTTACTGGCCCCAATGTGTGCTTGAATATGGTCCAGTAACAACTCGTTGGAGCCGCGGTTACTGCAATCTTAAAGCTTGATCTTCCTACCACAAATAGTAGCTGAACTTTAGAGAGCACAAAAAGCCTATATTGTGTCACCGAACTCAATAAGTTATGTCGAAATCTACCCTTTGAAATATGAAACAGCTTTGTAATTCCTAATTTGAAGAATTCTGGAAGAAAGCAGGGCTAAAGGAAATTGTAGCTTTTGAAAACAACGTATTTTTAATATATTAATATAAAATTATTATGTTGATAGTTTAATGTTCTGGCCCCTTTCTCTGCATATTTAGTAGAAATGAAAATACTGATCTTAACTAGCTGCTCTGGGAACTTGACACTACTTACTGTGTACTTGTACGTACAAGTGGGATTCAGGAACTTGAAAATATTTAACTGGAGAAACAACATATTTAAAAGGTCTTGTGCAAGAACTAGTGCATTAAAGTGTTATAGGATGTACTTATATGTGTCCTCTGTTTGCAAATTATTTGTATCTGTGCAGTACTGCTAGCCAGGTGGCTGTATGTCATTGGTGTATTAATTTCCAAAAATACCCCCCATTTTATGGGCAATATCAGAAAAAGCAGTAAAGAGGAAGTTGGAGTGCATTACATGGAGCAGTTAAGAGCTATTGGTTTGTTGTGATTCTCTTACCATTGCAACTTGACTTCTTGTCTCATCACAACGATGTGGTAGAATTGGAATGATTGTGGGTGGGATAAGGACTCCTGCAAGAGTATAAATGCGACCATTTTTTGCAACAATGTCTGTTTCTTCAATTTCTTCTCCAGTCACCAGGATTTGCCCCTATGAAACAATAAATTGTTATTAATAATATTTTCATAGCTTCTTAATGTCAAGAATCTGTAGTCATACTTTTTAACTGCTATTTTTTTAATGCAAGAAGCATGCATACGTTATGCTTTCTCTTGGATATTGGTCTACAACAACAACAACACCTGAAGCTATATTATAACAGAATGATTTAAAATATTTTTAAATAGATTTTTTTTTTTAAAAAATAGCATAAATAAGGATCATTCCTGGATCGGAGCTAATCATAAGAAAAAAGGAAACTGCAGGCTATTCTTACATACCTGCTATATGCTCTATATCCTTTATAATACTAATTTCTAACAATTTCTAACAGTGATAGGAATGGCAAGTTGAAAAGTTCTGCCTCATTATAGCAAGAAATTCATTTGGTAATGTCCCCCCTTCTCTCTTTTTTTATTCCCCCTGTATGCAAACAGTTGCCTAGACCAGAAAACTTCTCCAGGTGAAAGTTGCCTTTGACTTACGGTGCTGGTCCTGTTAAAGTAAATGAACTGCTTCGCCATGCTTCTGATGTGCTCTGTTGAGATGAGGCTGGCAACCTCGAGCTGAAATGAATACAAATTGGTTAAAAGATATGTAAAACCATTATTAGTAGTATTTTCAAATCCAGAGGGACTTCATAAGAGAGGCCACCTTTCTCTTTAGGGTGAGCAAATGGTTATTAACTACATAGGTGGCCTTGCATTGACTAACCTGCTTGTGGAGCAAAGTTAGAGTGATTAAGTTTTAACTGAGCTTGCTGGTTGTTGGATGTGAAGAGCCTGTTGCCCAAAAGGATATTAATTTTTCTCTTAATTATGGATAGCAACTAGTCTAAGTAAAATTATCACGTCTCTCTAAAAGCAGCCCCGTTTGTGTCTTTAGACCAATGTGGAAATGGTGGCGCCGAGATCCTGTGAAGGACACATAGATCTCATGCCTCTGCTCCCTGTGATCCCACTCTGTGCTGGGCATGACCTCTGCCTTGGGGGCTGCAAGCAGGTCCTTTCAGTAAGGACAGGAGTACATTCTTCCTTCCCCACAGCAGGGGCTGGGGTGGGGATGAACCTCAGTCTCCTCTAGTCTTAGTTGCTGGTGGTGTTGTTATGTTCTGCTCTTTGCTTACAGTAGAAAAAGGAGGGAAGAACATGGGGCATCCTTAGAGGATGACAAGACTACCTCTCTCTGATAAACAAGACCAATCTTAGCAACACAGGCTCAGAGAGAGCTTGATTCAGTAGCAACAAATACTTCTCCTGCTAGTTGTTGCTGCAGCCCTGAAAAGCTGACAGTATCCTTGACAGTGGTTTTTGCTCCACAGCAGGGCTAAAGTAGCAGGTCTTGTGTTCAGGATGACTATATATATTTTTTTCTCCCCTGTCCCCCCTCCTTGGGTTGAGTGCCCACCATCAAAAGGTATCTTTTTAAAGTGGAAATAGTTACTTGCATGTAACATACAGGTGTGATACAACATAGTTTTAATTTGGTGTCATTCAAGTACTACTCCATGCCTCTTAGCAGCATTTTATTTTGGTTTAGTGACAATGAGGTGAAAGGTTTGTGTTTGCTGTTAGTGACCTTTATGTGACTACCCCTAGTAAAGGCAGAGGCATAGCTGTCCTTTGCAGTCTTGCTGTGCAGCACCAAGCTGTTCTTGGAAAACCTTTGCCTTCAGAATGGCAAAGGGTTTGAAAATGCTCTCGCACTTCAAGTCAATACAACAGCCAAGTTCACCTCAGTATTGCAGACAATGTGGTATCGGACCAGCTCCAGCAACTTCCATGAACCCTGCCAAAGCAGAAAAGAGCGGAAAATGAGCCATGCAAACCCATCCTGGCCTGTTGAGAGGATATGGTGATGAGAATGGTTGTCACCTCCTGGTGCAACAGAAACCTCTGGGTCAGTGGTGGTTCTCAGCTTGTGTCACGTGCCCTGTCAGTCTACACCTTCATCCGTAAATCATGTTTTATTTCAGCACAGACCCTTCATGACTTGTGTGTGGGTTGGGAGAGGCAGGAGACATCTAAGGACAGGATGCCAATATCGACCTCCTGAGACCCTGCCAGCAATGTCTCCCGGACAACAGGGCCCTCCGGCATCTGCTCTCTTTGACTATTTCCACTAAGAGTGACACCTTCCAGGAGCGGGTTTGGGGCTTTGACATGTGGCTGTCTGGGCAAGAGCAGAGGAGTGGGGGCCTGGTGTGGGAGATTGCATAAAGCAATGGCAGTAGGAGACCCCAAATTCTGTTCCTCCCTAGGTGGTGTTGTATTCTTTAATGGTTTGAGATGGCTTAAGCCTTAATCGTAGGAGCTTAGCTTAGATGTATACTGGACAATGTCCATATGCTATATATCTACTATCTGAGGAAGACTTGTGTTATAGAAAGACTATACCTCTGTAGAAAGCAGGTAATCCAGAGCCTCAGCTTTCATATTACTCAGAGCCTCATTACTTGGAACAAAGACTGTGTAAGCCCTGTTGTCCTGCTGTAAATCCGTTCCCAAGCCAGTTTTCTGTTTTGGTTTAAAAATAAAAGTGAAATTATGTATTAATATTGAAGAACATCTGAAATAGTTTTATGGAATTGCTTTTCTGGATCCTTACCTCTATCAAAGATGTAAATTGGCTGTATCTTCCATTATCTTGAAGTACTGACATTATGGTTTCCTGAAATAACATGAAAGTGAGCTATAGTTTAGTTTGGAGCATGAAGTAAATACCAATTCTTATAAGACACTTTTTGAACTCCTGTATGAGTCTTGGCTATTATAGATTGAATATGTCTCAATTTCCATATTGTTCTGAAGGCTGATGGTGTCTGCAAATGGCTGAGATGGTAGCATTCTTGTCCTGGTGCTATACTGGCTTATAGTTAGTTTGTCATTGTCCTGAAACACTGTGTAGTCACAGAACCTATAAATAGTGTATATATGAGTGTGAAGTGGTATTATTTCTTCATTCCCAATGAGAAAGGGCTCATAGGAAATTAGATATTTGCAAAAAAAACACCATAAAAAGAGGTGAACTCTCAAGGAAGTATGCTAAGCAGGGCACCAAAAAAACCCTAAAGCATACAAAATGATATTTATTTTTGTATAGTATTAGCCTTTTGGGGCAGAGATTGCTGTTTTGAATATAAGTCTTGCCTGATATTTCTCCAGATGTCTCTCCTTTTATTATGTTGTTCTGGAATTCAGTCAGATGCAGTGATTGTGACTGCCAGTTTCCCAAGCAACCAAACCACTCAAATGCACTGAGTACAACCAAATCCTCCATGGACCAGCTTGACAGAAGGGTGAAAGTCTGTGTGCTGTTCCTCTGAGCCAACGCACAAAGGCTCAGTAGAGTTTGTCTAGCTGCTGTCGGTCATCCTTCTTTGCACACAGTTAATGTGAAACCGTTCTAAAAGATGTATGGCTCACCTCTTTGCTGCTTTCAAATGCTGGCTCCACATTGTCCATGGCTTTGTCAATAATGTGCAAAATCCCATTGGAAGCAATAATATTTCCCTGCAGAAATTTTCCTTTCCTCCTTCCTCCTTGGATTCTAATTCTTAATTGATTATCCTGAAAGAAGCCGGGCAAGTGGATGGTAAACTTTTTATTATGGAATGACAACAGAGTGATTATTCGTGTTGAATAAAGTCTTCCATTGCCAACACCTGGGCTATTTAAATCTGGAGAGGCTAAAGTTTGCTTGCAACGCTTACCAAGGAAATGGAAAAAATTCCTTTGACTTTGGATCAGGACCATGTTATTTTGTTTTAGGACAGCAAAGCTCAGAAGAGAAGCAGGGACAGGCCCTGTGGGGAGAAGAGTGTGCCTAAAACGGGCTCTGATAACAGCTAGTAAATATAAGTCTGCCAGGAAATGATTTAAAATGTGATTGTATTGAAAGGGACAACTCCTGTAATCTGAAGAGACTACAACGTATTTCCTTGTATTTTACATGTATTTAAACCAACAAAATGTTGCTGATTCTGCACTGTACTGAAGCCAGCAGGAAACTAACAGGCTTCAGAAAACAATGATATTTTCCTGTTACACATGGCATGCATACTCATTAAAGAAATAAAAGAGATCTCGTTTCTTAGATGCCACTGATCTATTGCCCAACATGAGAAGTATCTGACTGCAGCCTTCATGTAGGCCGAAGTCATTAGGAGAAATTTAATGGACCAAGAACAATAATTCCAGATTATAAAATCTAGTCTATCAGCTGTAGAGGACAAATTTTTTAAACTGTGGGATCAGACTGCCCTGATGTTTACTGACATCAAATAAGCTGGATTAGTAATGAGCTTTAATCCATATTTTTCGTGATAAATTTCTAGGCCTGTTTTATTTATGCTGAAGGCTTCTGTTTGCTGCATCATTCAAAGAATGCTGATGCTCAGTTGGGAGTTGGACTCTGCAGGGCACTCAGTGCTTGCTCTCTGTGAGTAGTACACATGAGTTTCCAAAATAAGCTCTGTTTTTTCCTTCCCCACACCCCCTCTTACTTCACCTAGGCTTTCTTAATGTCCCCTCAGCTCTCTTGGTTGTGCCTGAAGATTTAAGTTGATTTAATTTTAGCAAACATTTTTAAAGCAGTCTGTGTTAGATCACTGTGTTACTCAGCAGTGACGCATCTCTAATTTTTGTTTTCACTGATTTTGATGGGAACTTTGATGCCAGTGAGCTTTCAAGTTTTACTTGAGCTCCTTGTAATGCGTGGTCACAGCTGTGACTTCTCATAACCCAGGAGCTATTTGCAACCTGACTTCTTGCTGCAGAAAGACCTTTTGTTCTCCTTGCTGAGTGAACAGAGAGTAGTACCTCTTGCTGAAGGATGCTGGAAGGCGGCTTACCTTCTCTCCCTTTGATATCTCTCCTGACTTGCCAGTCAAAGTATATATTACATTAGTATTATTCAAGCTACTGGTATTCAACTGACCAGCAATTACATGGAGTTTCACGAAGTACTGTGCTTTCTGCTTATTATTCAGAAGATCCTTTACCTAGGACAGCAGAACAGAGATTTGTTTCAATACAGGCTTCATCTAAAAATAATCTCGTGGTGAAGGATTTCTTTTTCCTTCAGTTTCTACATTCTGAAATTATATGTTTTCTTATGAAGTGAGGTGATAGGATCTGAACCAAATGGAGGCCTCTCTTGTTTTCAGTTCAGGTCAGATTACACCCTTATGTCCTTGCATGAGCAGTAAATGCCACCTCCAGAGGTGTCCTGACTTCAGGAAAAGGCATTGGATGCTAACCACTTGCACATCAGGCCACTTCTTTGTTGTTTTTTTTTAAATTAAAACCATTTTAAAAAAAAATCATCCTTATATAAAAGGTGACCCATAGGCCTCCCTGAAGAAAATTCAAATTTTAGTTCAGACTCTGTCTCAACAAAGTGAAAAAACCTTAAGCATAACCAAGCCATGTCAGAGAATTCAAAACTTACTTGAATCACGTCTAAATTCTACCCAAACTCATGAGAGTGCCAATGATTTTGTCTTTCTTTCAAGTAGGAAAAAGGTGATCTCTGGCCCCTAGCTTTACATATATGCAAAAGTATACTAGATCAAAAAGTTCTTCTGAATCGGTTGCATCAATACAGTTTTAACACAGATGGGATTTCTCAAGGATCTCAGTTCCTCCCAGTTTAAACCCCTCCCTGTTATTTACTTACATTTATGCCTTTGAGCCCCTTATTTGTAGGTACGAGCACAGTAAATGGTCCCAGAGTACTCAGTGGCCATTCATAGACATTTTCTTATAAGGAGAGAAAAAAAAAAATTAAATTTGCGTTGAAAAGCTCATTGGAGGAAGGAACTGTGTAATCTGTGCCAGGCATGCAAGGGCAAAATAAGAATGAGCACTGTGTGATTATTAAATGTTAATTTAAGATTCTAAAAGCCAAGTAATTGAAAGATGAGAGGCAGAATGCATATGAAATCCAGGTGCCGCTGCATATATGACGCAGAATGAGGCAAAACATTCAGAACACTCTTGGCACCCCAAATTTTATGGCATGCAGACCAGAGTGACGCACAGAAAAATGGCATTTCTTTGGAGGTGTGTCTTTATGGGAAGATGGTTTCTTGCTTTAAATCAATTCAGTCTTTATGGGGTGAGGGGTATGCTGCTGCTAACCTGCTGGTAGTGCAAATATCAGCAAATACGTAGCAGGTAATAAAAGCTGATGCACTGAAAGTTAATTAAAGTTCATCTGCTACCTAGGTGGTATTTCTGTTTCCAAGACAGCAGTATGAGACCACTGATTCTGTAGCTGAAGGCATTAAATATTTATAATATTAATCTCTTTTTCCAGAGGTTCAAACTCAAACTAAACTATCTTTACAGTTGTTACAGGTATGTCGTACTGGAGAATATACCTCAAATTTAATATGCTGTCTTACAAAAAAAATGTGGACTGTTCTGCTGTATGTTCGTAGTTTTTGAAAGATATTAATGTGGAGTGAATATATTGTAAAATAACCTGTGAGGTTAATGTGTCTCTGTAGCTTCAGGCTAGTAAATCAAGTGGCCCATTTATGCTCAAAACTTAACCGAAGAACATAAAATCTGAGCTGTTGTTCACAAATGGTGGTGCCCAGCATGTCAGGCACTTTTCTGACACGTGAGGAAAAACACAAAGAGAAGCTGCAGCTGAGCTCTCGGTGCTGACTGAGGCAATGGATTTTGATCTGCAGTGCTAAATGTGAATGAAGGCCATGCCAGACTTTGTCCTTGGCAAGCTATGGGGGATCCTTAGTACGTTCTGGTCATAAATTCAGGATCTTTATTTTAATCACTGGACTCAGTGAAAAGAACTGAGGAAATTATATTAAACAGGAAAAAAATTATAGCATTTACAAATTTATCTTGAAGATCCAGCTCAATTCTAGTAGTGTTTGTTCATAACTCACATTTTTGGCCACACAACAGAACATGATGAAGACAGTTATGCTATTCTCTTCATGAGGTGCCTGCAATAATTGTGTAAGGCTGGAAGACATGAGCCCTGACAGGGTTTCCACCTCACCACTGCAGACAATCTGGAAACACACCTCAGCTGTGTCCAAAGTGCTCTGGTGGGAGGGTCCTGAGGGTAATGGACACCATGGATGGCATCAGTCTGTTCCCCTTGCCTCTATTCCCTTTCCTGGTGAGAGCAATGCCACTGCTGATAGCTGGGGACTGGGTAAGAAGGACCCAAACGGGAACGCTCATGTTTTTGGTGGACTTCTGTGTGCCGTTTTAGATCAAATCTCAGTTATACAAATCAATGGGATATAGGGATAGAGAGGAAGTGGGATCATCCCACTTATCCCACTATGGAGCAAAACCCACTGGTGATATGAAATGACATGTGAGGGACTGTGGGAAAGTATTTAGCACTTCTACGTGGAAATTCTTGTGGATTGCATAGCACGGTGAGCAAAGGATGCTTTAGGGTTCAGAAGGAGTCTGCGGTGAGTAGTGTGCGGGCTGTGTCATGCTCTTAGAAGAACCTTCCTGCAGTGGGAGAGTGTTGGAGGAAAAAAGAACAAGATCAACCCACCCAGCAGGAGCTGGCTTTGCTTGCATGTGGTCACTTACCCATGAGTGATAAGGCAGACGTCAGCTTGCCTTGCCACCGTCCTCCCACTTCAGTGTTCAGCTCCTGGAGGCGCTCCATGACATTTCCGTAGCACACAAACCCGTTCCCCACGGAGTCCCCCTGGCATGTACAGCTGTGAAGGGATCACAATTTTAGCTGTGTGCTGATGCCCTGTGTTGTCAGCAAGGCTGTCACTGAACCTGCACTGGGTGTTACTTATTGCTTCTCTGAAGGCATATTCAGGAAGAACCAATGTATTTCAATTTAACATTTTCTTCTGCGTGCTGTGAAGAATTTCAGTGTGTAGTGCAGCCTGGTGACTGCTTGCATGGCATGAAGTCCTTCTGTCAGCTGGGCCAGAAGGCAGCAGTATCTGTCTTGCAGGGCCTCATTGAATGGCGTCTACATGACACCCTTGGCTGCAGTACAGCCTCTGGTCCCCAAACGTTGTGGTTGTTGGAGGCTAGAAAGCCACTGAGCCTGCCTGCCTGTGGGCAAGGGGAGCCTACAGCATAAATGTATGGGGTTCCACCCTTGTGATGGGGAGGAAATTGTGTGAAGCTCTTACTCACTGTGCGGGACTCAACAGGATTAATCATGATTATGTGTGAAGGGGGGTGATGGCAGCTCACTGGTCCTTGTGATAGCTGTGTGGGACTGGAGGGAAACGGCAGGCAAGTGTGTCAGTCCTTTCAGCAAACCTCACCCTTTAAGTAAGGCAACAATTTTGGGTAATGGTACTTGTACCTTAACATAATCTTTTTTTTTTTCTGAAGAAGCTTGAAGCATGGAATCTCATGCTTTTTCAGATGCTGTAGCTCTCTTTGCATTGGAAACAGCATCTTATCTGTAACACTCTGGATGTCTTTTGGGGACTACAGCCTGTGAGAGGTGTCAGTGATGTGTGTGGTTGACCTGGTCTCACATATCTACAGGCTCAGGTCATGGTGCTCATGAAAGTGACAAGCAATGCCCTGAGATGGGCTCAGTTCCTCACTGCTTTGAGGTGGACTGCATTTGAAGTTACGTGTTGCAGCTAGGGCAATATCAGAAAGAAATTTATAGGAGAATAACTCCAAATATTAGCCTGATATTTTCTGTCCCATGAGGGAAAGAACGTGCATCATGAAAGCTGAATCTTATAACCATGCAAGACCTCAGCCTTACAAGAGTGCTGAGGAAGAAATTGTTAGTTGTCAACGAGATTGACACATGCTTGCTGGTAGGTACAAATGGTTCTGAATTTCAAAGAGCAACTAGGACTTGCATATGCCTTGACCTTGTGCTAGCCTGACTGTTCACTGGGAGAGGTGGTTAGTAATTTCTAAAAAGTCAAGACTCTTTAAGCCTGTCTCAGTATGACTGGCCTTTGATGTGTGCTGGTTTTGTCGATCTCAGCTCTTTCTGTTGCAGTTGTTAGATAGTCAGCCTCTGCTTTGCTGCTCTTGGGAGACTGACTGGAGGTGTCAGCTCAGTCATTGACTCATCTTCAGTGCTAAAATTAAAAGTATTCACTTGTCAACATGCAGCATGCACAGAAAGAAACCCTGAGTATATTTAGGAGGCTAAATAACTATTTAGTATGTGTTGTCAAACACCATCTTTTAATAGTACCTTTCCTAATTAAGTCTCTAGCATGTTCAATATTCGTATAAACCTTGTCCATAATGATTCATCTCACTGGATATTTTTTTCTAAAGGCATCGTTAGAGAAGAAACGTTACTGCATGCAAGCAAAAGATGTTCCTTATATAACTAATGACCTAATTGTTTGCATGTGCTGGCTGTTGCAAACACACATCTGCCACTCACTCCCCACAGTAGTATCAACGTAATACCAGATCACCTCCTGTTTTCCACACACGGTCTCAACTGTAACTATTTCTCTGGTGATAGCAAAATTATTTAAAAATCCCCACAGTCCCTGCAGTCTTGATGGTTGCACATAGACTCACAAGGGTGCTGGGGTTTTGGCCAAAAGGCTCTAGCTTTGATTCCTCCTGTTCCTGGGTGAAAATAGCAGTCTAAAAGTTTCCAAAATTTATAGGATGCAATTCTGATGGTGAGAATATTGCTGTATTGACATACATAGTCCCTATCACTTCTGAGAAAAGAAGAAAAAAGCCTTTGGCTTTAAAGAAGCTGAGGAGTAGTTTAGTAGAAAAAAGGAAACTACCTTCAAAATATTTCACAAATCATGTCAAAGTTTCAAAACAAACCTCTTTTTTTTCACCAAACAGTCCTAAAGAAGCAGGTGGTTAAACATAGCAATTTTTTTGCCTGTCATTTTAAGGGGCACTGCAGAAATACCTACATAGTTTAACACTTCCTTTCTGAGGGTAGTATTGCTTGTGAGTGGGTGTCCAGCAACACGGTTTGGATTTGATTACCAAAGGAAAACACTTAGCTATTACAGATTAGCACTTATTGCATGGGATGGAACTCTTCAACCTGTCTGTCCCCTCACCCCTTCTGACGGAGTAATTTACTCTATGTGGCCAGGCTTGGGAAGAACCAGCTGGGTGACTGCCTAGATGGGTTTTGTCTTAACTTTGTCTGGAGGATCTGGTTTGCAACTCGTACCACATATGGCTTTATAGGTTTAGCTCTGCCTGCACTGACACCTGTACGGTCTTCATACCTCTAACGGCACACAGCTTTACGACAAACTCTGCTGGACTATTTAAACTTAGTTGTTGGGTGTTTTCATGATGTGCTGCTTGGACAGTGTAGGCAGGACTGAAAAAGATGGGAACTACTTCAGCTCACTTAGGAGGGGGAAGCAAATTGTACCTCTCTGGAAAGCAGGAGCTCAGTTTTCTGTCTCTGTTTTATCTGAGACTTGTACAGCAGAAAACAGAAATCAAGTGGCAAAAACAAAAATCAAGTAAAAACAAAAGAAAGGAAACAGTACAGATTTGTGGCCTCTGTTACATCTTTGTATTTTAGAAGAAGTAAAAAAACCCCGCCCAAACCCTCTCAAATATATCTCAAATACCTCTCAAATAACATCACGAATACAGCCAAAATACAGTAAGTGTCTGTCACTTACCAGAAACAATTTACTGTGCCCACGTTTACCAATCAATATTTTTCTTCGCAAATTTCCTCATTTGTAAATGGATTTTCCTTAGTTAGAAACTGTTCAGTATAGTTTCATTTTTTTTGCCAAATGGATAGTTTAGTTTGATTTGAATCCCACTCCTTTCTTCTGTACTTGTTTTTGCCGTTTGTCACTGAATGAACAACATGCAAAGCGTTTGAATTGCTTGTTCCCCCTCCAGTCATACATTTTTAATTTTCCCATTCTAAAATTCTTCTCAGCTCTTGAAAATTGAGTTGCAACAGTGAAATGGTGACAAATTAGGAAAAGAAGGTCCTGATTTATGTGATGTGGAAATTTATTTTAATTTTCAGCTCAAGTTGTGCAGCATATGATGTTAAGTATAGACTATGAACAGTTTGGATAGTATAGTATGAACTAAGGGATATTCTAGATGATCTTGGTTGAAATGCATAATAGCTTACACAAAAGTGGAGATACTAGACTATAAGAGAAAGCTGCGTGATGAAGCAAGAACTGGCATTAAGAATACTCTCCTGAGTAAATACTTTCTGTCTATATAGATCTACATGGTAATTTGTCCTCAACTTAGAACTAATGGCCTGTCTTTTCTTTCACTTCAGACTCCTAGCTCTTGAAAACTAACATTTCAGGGATACCTCTTTAAACATAGTACTAGCCATCACTGGGCTGTAGAAACATGTAATCCCAACTGTTCGGTTAAAGGTAGCTTTGTTAAGTTTAGTGTTAAAACTGACTTTTCTCCTAATGTCTATGTAGCAAATTTCTGTACAGGAGAAGAAACTCGGCTGGAGATTTTGCAGTTTCCCCCATGCTTGTCTTGAGGCTTTGAGGAATCTGCCGAGGTTGGTGTTGCTTTCACAGCATGGGGGTCAGATTCCCTGGTTTTATCTATACTAGTATACTAAGAAGAGCTAGAACTCCAGTGCTGCCCCATGATAATTAATGCTGATTAATTTTGAGCATGCTGCCTGGCGTGTTTCTGGCCCACACCAAGCAGCATTTTCCCAGGCAGTGCCCAATCACAGTTGCAGGGATATTGTGTGCCAGGGAGTGCTGCCAAGAGGCAGTTGCTCTGTTTTTGGAAGAAGAGACTTTAGCTGTGAGCCAGACAATGCTGCTTGCCCTGAGGAACAGAAGAGACATCTTGGTCCTTTTTATTTACTAGTGTAGAAATGACCTCTGAGTGCTCTAAAAATAAAACTTAGTGTAGGTATTAGCAATTGGACCAGTCAAATCAAGCACCATGGTAATTGGTTGACCTTAACCCCATTAAATCTTGTAATTTTTCCTTGATAAAGAAATGATTAACAATAACTTTGGGAGGTGTTCATCCACTGGATTCATTGTAGCAGCCAGCTTATTAGGGGGAGGAGGGAGAAACTGAGTGAAAGCTCTAATAAACTAAAAAAAGACTCACGTGATCTGTCCTGGTGCAACTGTTGAGCATTTAGCTTTTTTATGGCAGGTGTTGTTTGTTTCACAGATGTCTCTCATGCTGCATCCTTTCCCAGGTACAAAGTTTGTGTAATGCTCCTTGCATTCACAGTGGGACTATATAAGGATGGGAGAGGGGAGGGAAAAATCAGACATGCACAAATTGTGGATTTCAGCATGCTTTCTGGAACTTGGGTCTTAAGACAGTGCTAAGACTAAGAGCTTCCAAAGCCTTAGTTAATCACCTGCTGAGTTCAGATGCAAGTATACAGCTTATCCATATTTATATGACTCCCTTCTAGGTTTTATCTACATCAGGAAAGTATTGATTCTCAGATTAATTTCTTTCAGATAAAGCCCTTTATAGTAACTTCTGTGACCATAGAACATTTAAAATGGGTATGGGGTAGGTCAGATTTTCTACCTCTGTTCCCACAGCCCTCTGCCTCCTAAAACAAGTGCCAACACATTATTAACGAGTAAGGTGTATCAGCACTTATATAAATGTGAACTGCAGGATGACTGACTCCCTTTTTCGGCTGTTCAGGGTGTCCAGGTAAAAACGGGCACGGTCTTCTGAAGTCTCACTTTCTTGAATTTTACATGTGGAAATCTGAGCCGGTTTTAAAGAGTGTGACAGCCTTTATATGGTGTCTTTTGTTGGTAGTCTGCAAAGTCTCAAAGATTACTTCTTTCCTAAATACATTCACTGTAGGCATTTATCTGCAGTACCTGTGTAAAGAGCCTACAAGCCCCCTGTGGCCAGAGAGAGAAAACTTAACTGGGAGAAGCTTCGCTTCAGTGCCTTAATTTTGGGGAGGCAAATCTGAGGCAAAATGTTCTTACAAAAAGAACACTATTGACATTCCTATTTTCAAAGGGAAAAGCACCACATAGATGCATAGAGAGGGAGGTAAAGAGACTCCTGGTCACCAGCAGTGCTTATGCCAACACTAGCAGTAGAGCTTGGCCTCCCCGAGGCCTGTCCCCATACCTTTGTGACTTGGTTTTGGAGAGAAAGCATTTTTCCTTCCTAGGAAATGTCTGGGGCACCCGTTCAACACTAACCTTTCCCGGACCGTCATATATGCAAATGGTGGACTGTGCAGAGCATCTCCCGTATTTTGCTTGGCAAGGGTCTATGGGTAAGCAGACTTGACCATCCCCTCTGTAACCTTCTTGACAGGTACATTTGTGCTGATTTGGTCCGAGGTAAATGCAGTCAGCATTAGGATCACAGACCTTTTTGGAGCATGGGTTGATGGCTTGTGAAAAAAGAAGTGCAGTAAATGAATTATTGCCCACAGTTCTGAAATTGAAGATGAGGATTTGCTAGAGCACTGCCATGCCAGACAAAGCCTGGGTAGACTAAACTTCTCATAACAGCCAAGTCTGAAGTATTGTGGCGGCATGAAGACAGAAGGCAAGAATGTGTTTATAATAACATAGCAACCAACTGTTTGGTTCTGAAAAGAAATGATCTTTTAACTTGGCAAATTGAGTTATAAACAGACTAAAACATGTAATGTGCTTATTAAAGTGTCACAACTATTTCCCTGTTCTCTGGTGGATTTTAACCACAGAAGGTCAGGTAGGTGATAGGAGGTCGGTACAAGCTTTAAGCACATGTTAGATCAGGGGGAAAATATTTCTCAAAACAATAGGCATTCACTGTTTTCTTTCTGGTAATTAAACAATAAAATGTCATCCATTCAGATATATGGAAAACTGACCATGGGTGATTTAGTTGAGTCTTCCACGCTGCTGTAGTTTCAGGACTGGACTGGAAGCTAACTAGTTATTTCCATAAGCCTCTTTTTCCAAGGCAACAGCGTTGTTGGTACTTGTTCATAGACAGCAGTTCTTAGAGAACACCTTGTTGTACCTTTGTATACAGTTTAGGATATGACCAAGCACACATTGTAGCTGGAAGGTGGCAGGCCCTGGACTCACCTAAAAGCTGGTGCTGCTTACTATCTTCCCCTCTCCTCCTCCCTTTCTTCCCCCTCAGCTGGGACTGAGGGAGTTGACAAATCAAGCCTTCTCTTCTGCAAAATCACGCACATACATACATACCGAAAGGGTGGTGAAGCGTTGGAATGGGTTGCCACAGGAGGTGGAGTCACCAACCCTGGATGTGTTTTGTTTTAAAAAGTGGTTGGATGTGGCACTTCAGGAGATGGTTTAGGGTTGGGGTTTGACTTGATGATCTTAAGGTCCTTTCCAACCTTTATGATTCTATGATTCTATAATCACATACTCAAATTGACTGTGGGCAACACCAGCTGCAAGCAGAGTCTGGGGCAGCCACTTAGTACTTAGCTTGTGCTGGAGCTGCTTGTCCTCTGCCTCCCAGCCAATCAAGTGTAAAAGATGCTGGCTTAATCCATAGATGACCATCTAAAGGCACTGGAACAGAGGAGCAACATCCACACAGACTGCATTGCTACAAAACCTAAGAGAGACAGGGATACTAGCATCTTCCTCCCCTGCTGGTTGCTGCAATTTCTTTTTCTCACTTGTCTATGCTACCTGCTAGAAGAACGTCACATTCCCCCAGGGGTGACTTTCTGATATGTTGTTCCTGGGTGGTATTCAAGCCTATTCAGAAAGGTTGACATCACAGTTAGGACCAAGAGGATTGTGAAGGTAAATATTCCCAAATAGGATAAGCAGTATTTTATTTGTGGCCTGATCCAAGCCAACATTTACTAAATACTGATTCCACCATCAGATCCAACAATTTTCTTCATTGCAATTCATCTAGGAAGATGTGGTGCTGTAAGACATAATCTAAATAGAGAAAACAAAAATCGGGACTCTTATAATATAGTTAATTTGAGCATTCAATGGCAAGTTAAGGAGTCTATAAAGACAACTTCAAGGTAGAATTTTACCTCTAGCTGAGAAGCTGTTAGCTTTGTTTCGTGAAAAATAGAAAAGCTAAAATGAGCTTTATTTTTATGTAGAGTTTATGCTTAGTGATGAAGCTGAGCTGCCACGTGATGGATATTTGACAAATATATGTTCTTGGTTGCTATTGTTGATTTTTAAGGAAGCAGAATATGAAGTTGAACTGTAACAAGTAGAGGAATGTAATGGGAGTGAATTTGTTAGCACAGATGTCCCAGTATCCACACCATGTATTTCAGGGGGATTTACTAGCTTTAGACTGGTTGCACGGACTGAAATTTGTTAGTGACTGGACCAATGTGCTTCTGAAGCACATTTCAGGGTTTAGTTTCATCCTGAAGGAATCTAATTTGTACTTGTGAGACAGCTTTGGGATATGAACCCAAGAACAATCAGATTCAAAACCACACTCAATATCTAAACTATGATACAAAAGATGTATACAAAGAATATGTTGGACCTGAAAATTACTCACGTTCACACTGTGTACCGTCCCCGTGGTAGTTGGGCAGGCACGTGCATTGCAGTTGTCTTCCATCCTTGCCTGAGGCAGTGCATCTGGAGTTTTCAGGGCACCGTAAAGCCTCGCATTCAGCTATTGCTGAGGGACAGAGTGTGACAGGTTAAGCAGTGTCTGCACACGGTGCCAGGAGCCATTGCGTCCTGCAGTTCGCTAGTTCAAAGTATGTCTGATTTAAGGACCATCGGTTCCTGTTCCTGCCATCAGTTTTCTGCCAGTTGAAGTGGTGACGATGGTTATGGAAGTTCACACACAGGGTTTGAGGTTCAGTATATGTTTGGTTGTTCCAGAGTGACTAACCTAAGACTAATTTTACATTCATGCTTACAGATTCTAACTGCATCAGAGATGTTGAATGTACCTTACATAGAAAATAATCTACTTACGCTGATCACAGCTGAGCCCTTTGTATCCAGACAAGCAAGTGCATGTTCCATCCCCTGTAATTCCACTGTTGCATACTCCATGAATGCAGTTGCAAACTATATAGAGAGATGAATTGGCTTTACTAAATAACAGTGGTGTTTGGAAACATGTAATTAGTGGTTACCCATAGCAAATAGTGTCCTGGCCAGCAACTTTGCCTGAACCAGGCTTTGACCTGAATTCTCAAATTTATAAGCTTTCGCGAAAGAGAAGATCAACAGTCACAGTTGTATACATCAGTAAATAACATACTGATTTTTGCAGGCTGTTTAATACGCTGGGGCCTGAAAATCTTTAGGACACACGCTATAAAGTAACTAGTTGCTAATACTATAAAACTTGTAAAATTTTACATACAGTCTCAAACCAAAATTGAATATAATGTGTAATATAGACTGTTTTTGTAACTATTAACAAATTGCTTATTTTTGGTTCAATTCTGTTTGTCTGTCTCAAAAACCTCCAGATGAGATTTATGACTTTTTTTTTTTTCCTAAGCAGAATTTATTTAGTTAAAAAGGTAATTAATCACTGTACATGTCTCAGGCTTTTTTCTGGTCCTTTTCCTTATATTCTGCCATTTCTGGTTATAAATCTTGTGACAATATATGCACAAGATGTCATACTCAGAGTCTAGGCAACTATGAGACTGTTTTATATGTGGTTTTTGAAGCCTTAAGTATGCTTAAAAAGCTTTATGGTTATAACTGTTTCAATTATGGTAATGACTCTTTTCAAAAAGGCCCTTTACAGTTACATTTGGAAAAGGCTCTAAGATGTAGGGAGTTGTATTGCTGATTTCATGTTTAAGCTGCAGTGATGTAGCTTACCGTCTTCCTTTTACAAATATTTCCTGTTTTCTCACAAAACCCCTGTACTAATGAATTAGTAACATTCTACCTATGTTAGCAGTCCTAATATAAAAACATTCAGTGTTTAAAATGTTCCTGAAAAGCAGTTAGTAACAAATGTGCTGTACTCGTAGATGCTTAGAAAGCTTGGAGGAGCTCAAATATCTGGAAGCCGAAATTGCTTAAATTAATATGCAATTGAATCCTTTGGTAGTTTCGTGCAAAATAATTACATTTACGTTATTGAATTCATTCAAGTACCCTATTTTAATGAAAAGTGTCCCCATTACATTTCTGTGTATCAACACTGGCATCCAGTGGACAGCTGGTGAAAAATAGGACTTTGAGTTAGCTGTGATGTAGGATTAGTGCAGAAAGGCCAACACAGTTTATTTAAATTGAGGCTATTTGTTACTCTGCTTTGAAGTAAATTTATGTAGCTCTTGAGGAAACAAATAGAGTTTTACTTAGAGATAAACAACTATTACCACTTAAGAATGAGACATTTCTTAACGTGTAAGACACTTTTCTGATTTGTTTTAATGCTCAGCAGAGCTCAGGAAGGGAAACAAAAGCTACGAGGATGATAAAGGGACTTGACCATCTCTCCTATGCAGAGAGACTGAGAGAACTGGGGCTGTTTAGCCTTGAAAGGAGATGGGTGAGAGGGGATTTTATTAATGTATACAAATACCTGAGGGGTGAGTTTCAGGAGGAAGGAGACAATCTCTTCTCAGTTGTGCCCAGGAATAGAACAAGGAATAATGGGTTTAAATTGGAACATACGAAGTTCCGCCTCAGCCTGATTAGAAATTTCTTTACTGTGAGGGTGCCAGAGCACTGGCACAGCCTGCCCAGGGAGGTTGTGGAGTCTCCTTCTCTGGAGACTTTCAAAAACCACCTGGATGCGTTCCTGTGTGGCTGCCCTAGGGGATCCTGCTCTGGCAGGGGGGTTGGACTAGATGATTTCTAGAGGTCCCTTCCAACCCCAAACATTTTATGATTCTTAAACTAAAAATCTTTAAGGAACAGGCAAACCTAGAAAATACTACACAAATGTATACACTTGTGATATATATGCATTTTAAATAGTGCATATAGCTCTGATCTCTTCTTCAGTGTCCCACTTCTCTTAATAGAGAATGGCCAACAAATGAAATTATCTATGAGCCAAAAAACAAAACTAAACCAAAGTCACCCTTTTTCATGCTTATGTCTGAATTATGGAGCTCCCTGGCACAGAATACTGTGGGGAGCAAAAGCAAATCGGACTCAGAGACAAGGCAGATAAATTATGGAGGATGGATCCAGCAGGAGTCTCTTAAACACTACAGCTGCTTTTCTACTCTTTCCTTGGATATCAACTATTGGCTTCCAATATGGGATATTAAGCTAGAAGGGCTTTTGACCTGATTCAGAATGGCCTTTTTTGAGTCAAATATACTGATTTAAATACCACAGTATTCCATGCCTTAATACAGATGGTCCAGTTTGTAGAGGTATTTTAAAACCGTACTGAAACACTTTAAGCCACTATCAGTTATGTGTTTAGTATGTTCCCACCCAATATTTTAAGTATTGTAGCAACCTTAGATCAAATAAATGCAAATCCATGATTTAGGGCTAAAAGTGGGCAGCATGATAATTGGCTAACAGGGAGGCATGCCTGCAGGAACAAACAGATGATTCTAATCCCTAATTTATTGGATTGTTGGCTATAACAAAGATATTTAAGACAAGATAAAGATTTTTTTTGTAGCCCTGCACTGAGCGTGTTGTCCTGCGTTGAATACGGCCCCACTGTGAATTGAGTAACTGAGTAGCTGCCTATTTTCTTTCCCTGTTGCGTTCCCTGAAGCATACAGCAGCTCTTAATGGGAAAACCTTAGACCCTCTACCCATATCACTGTGATTTCTTAGTATCTGCTTTCACTCACCTTCTATGATTCTTTTCCCCATTTCAGTAAAGAAAGCTGAAACTTACCCGATGTGCAGTGAGGACCAAATAAATTCTCTTCAGCACATTTTTCACAGGCTGTCCCACCAAACCCTTTCTGTGAATTACAGAATGGAAAGCAAAACTTAAGTTTCCCATCTCTCTCCATACAGATACATGCTTAGCAACCTGAAAACAGCATTTTTAGATGTACGAAGTAAATAACACAAAGGTTCAATCAGAAAATCAGAAATTATTACTGCAATCTAGAAAACATGGTCTTTTGAGTGGCTTTTTCCCTCTCTCTATTTTTTATAAGAATAATTTTTAAATCTTACATTTCAAACCAGATGTTCTGAATATAAAGCTAACAATAAAAAGCAGTAATTGAGTCTAATGCCCAAATAATTCTTGCAATTGTTAGGCTCTATTCTCTGATTGCTTCTCACTGTCTCTTGTTTTACATGTCCCCAGATGTTGTCTTGATGTAATGGAAAGAATAACCAGTAGAGGGGGAGGTAGAAAAGATTTGAGTTTTTTAAATGTCGTTTCGGCTGAAGTTATTAAGTACTGCATGTTGCACTCTCAGCAAAGCGACATTGTATTGGGAGTATAGTCCCAAGTATGAGTTCTTTCTAATTAGAGAAAAGAAGTTCTAAGTAATAATGCGCTCTAAGAAATAGAGGAACTCAAAACACCTGTTTGAGGAAGACAAGATGGAAGAACTTTTTATTGATTTCACATGAACATGCTCAAGTCTGTATAAATAATAGTGTGAAGATTAGTGCAATCCAAGCAAAAAATGAACTGCAAGCAGAACATCTCTGCTGTTTCAGAAATGCTTTCCTTTAATGTATTTAAGCAATGGAAAAAGCATTATTTCTTTGTATAGCTTACATGCTACGGGTTTTTTTTTCATTTAAAAGGAAGGACATACCTGACAAGTGCACGATCCATTCCCATTTATACCCTGGGAGCAGTGTCCTCTCCTGTTGCATGGTGATGCAGCTCCTCCTGGACAGGCTAGAAATGACAAGGTTTAAGCCATCAGTCAGCTAGCTCCGATGCTTTTGTTCCCCTTGCACATCAGGTGTGACAGCCTGGGAGGCTGCAGGGTTTTGGGCCAGACAGTGACCTCGAGTCCCAGCTGCTGTTTGGCCGCTGCCTGAATCTCTTGCCTAGAATGTCAGCTTCAGCAGAGACCACTCCCCTCTCTTATCTCTAGTGACTGTAATCAAAAGATTGCACAAAAAATAGTTTTCTTGTTCTAAAGCACCATATTGATTTTGTCCCTGCTATGATCCACCTCTATGTGCAGACACTCTAAACTGTTAGCTTTTTTTGATCCACTTAGAGTTTGCCAGACCACTTCTGTATGTGAATACAACTCTGATTGGTTGAAAATTTGCTGTCAGAATTATATTTGATGCTAAGTTAGAGTTTAAGTAAGCCTTTTTCTTTCCTCCGCAAATTGCATTTGCTTTATGTGGAAAGTTTTCCTTTTTCCTGCTACCTCCTATAAATCTATGACATTTGATTCAAATGATCTTGGAAATTGAGCTCATAACCCACTTCTGTCCAACAGGCTGTGGTCACTAGTAAAATTTGTGTGCCAAAGATGTACTAAGCTCTTTTCATACCTTCTGGTGCTAAAACCATGATTACAAGTAGTGGTATACCAGGCGAGAGTCTGACCAAAAAAATTCAGCCAGCAGGAGAGGACAAGAAACAATGATTTTATTTCCAGACAAAACTTGTTTAATTCTTGGCTGAAATTTTTCAATATTCAAATTTTTACTGACAGGTTTCCTATACCAAATACATTATGCAGTGATTTTTAGTCAGATTGTTCCATCAGGATTTTTCCCCTGTAGAGATAGCCTTATTTTTTGTAGTTATGCATCCTCTTCATAGAAATGATTTATTTTTTACTCCCTTTCACAAGCCTTCCGTTCCCGTAATTGGAGTTCCCATTAGATAGCATAATCCTGCCCTCAGAGGTTCTCTGCTGTACCTTACTGACAGATTTATTACTTACGAAGCGCCTCAGTTTTTTCTGTGTGGGTGGAGATGGTCAGTGTTGGATTTATGCTCCCACCGTGTAACTTAATCCTGATTTAGAGTTTTTAAGTGCTGCAGATATTTTCATGAAAATAAATTTGGTTTGGACCGAGTGATGAGCAAGTAAGTGAATGTATATATGTGTACGTTAATTTTAGTGAAGGCTTTGGTTTTATACTAATCTGTCAATATTTCTTAATTTATTCCTAAGTGATGGGTCTGTGAGGTGTGTTGGATCTAAGTGAGCTTCTTGTGAAAAACAATAAACATAAAAATGAAAATTTTAGTGCAGTTTATATCATATGTGCTAAAATAAAAGGATTTATTAAGAACTGAGGTGATATAACCAGAAATGAGATACTTTAAGGTGGCTTTTTTTTCTGGCTACCATGTGATAGCTAAATCTTATCTTGGTGACTGACACAGATGCAAACTGCTCAATGTGATATTTGTTCTGAATGGGAACAATTTTATGTGCACCAATGCTTTTTAAAATGTGCAAACATAGAGAAAACTCGGAGTTTATGGCGTAATTTCTGAGAAAGGACACTTTAAAATTGCTAACAAAACAGGTTTTTTGCAGTTAGTGTTCATTACACTTCCCCTTGTCTTCGGCAACTCTTATCTCTTGTTTTGATACCACCACCATTGAATAGTTTTATCAAAAGCCTAGCTAATTACCATATTGTTGTATGAGTTTGGTCAGGAAGATAAAGTGTTTGCCCTGGTTGGTGGCACCCCAGGAGCCAGAGCTGGGACACTGGAGTGATGCTGGCAGGGTGGCCTGCTGCCAGCCCTGTGCTAGGGAGGAGCAAGACATTTGCTTTTGCTGAGGATGGTTTTTGAAAAGTAGTAAGAAAGAGATGCTTCTGCTTAGCTTTTAAAATTGTCAGAGCATGAAGGCCAAATCTTTATATTTAGGCCAAAAGAGCTTGAATCCGTCAGCTTTTTTGCCTCATAGAGTTTAATTCAGCGTAAGTGTTTTCAAACACAGCCTCTTGTATTACTTCACCTGACACCCTGCAGGCTGAAGCAGCGGTTAGAACTTGTAAATATGTATGTGGGACCATAAAATTTGATAGAATTAGGTTTATTAAGTTGGCCTTTTTTTTCTTTTTCTTCTCCTGTTCACTTTTTTTATTTATTTATTCTTACAGTGCTTTTTACTCAGTTGCTCATACTATGCACCTTTGAGTTGGTTCCCAGGCTTTTCTTTGGAGCCATGCAAGTATTTTCGCAGAGTGAGAAGCTGAGTCAGCGTGTGGAGTAGCTCCTGCTGTCCCATCAGTTATACACACGGGACACCTGACCTCCACCAGCTGTGGTATCTGTGGCTGGGTTATACTGGCAGTGTTAAAAGGCTGTGCTCTTTTGCCCTGGACCTTTCCACCCACTGTACTTTTCCCTTTTTCCTTGATGCCTTCTTACAGAGGGATGGGTATGTGGCTGGTTGGCTTGGGGTGAGAAGGGGACAGAACATATTTCATTCACACCATGTGTTTCAGCCTGTGCTATCATTTAAGGAAGTCAGGCCATTATTTAAGACCTAATTTTGTCATTGCCATCAAATATAAAATGTGAAGTAAACCCCTAGTCAGGGATTTTTTCTCTGGCCTCAGGAAGGACCGGCTTTCCTCCAAACATTTCAAGGCATGCCGTATGGCCTTAGAGAGATTGAGATAACATGAAGAGCTATTTGCTTCCTCCAAATGACAGCAGAAACAATGCTGAGAACTTGATTCTCTGCTTTCGGGGGCCAGGAAGTTTGTCTGAAGGAAGAGAGGGCTTCCTTGACTCTGCAGCCTTCTGTAGCAGTGCAGGCAGGGCTCTGGCTTGAGGGCAATGAGCTCTGCCCCTCTCTAGGAACACCCATGCCCCTCGTGTCACCTCTGAATTATGGGATGACAATCACATGTAGTCTTGCCTTCCTCCTACCCGGCAGTTAGGCCACATTTGGTGGAAAAATCCTTAAATCACCACACAAGTGATCATCTTCAGAAGAAGATGAGAGTGCACACTACATACTCAGCTATTCACCTATCTTTTCTGTAGAAGCAGCAATAAGTTTGATTTTGACTACTTTACTTGGGTAGATAAATGACTGGTATTTAAATCATGGGTTTGAGCCATGCTAAAATAATTTTTTAATCTATTTTGTGAGCAAAATTACCTCACAGACATTGAACCTGACCTTGACCCCTTTAATTACAAACCAAAATGCTCTGTTTGAGCAAAGAAAATTCCTCTGTGGGTCCTGATGCCCACCTCAGTAGCCTGAGGGTTGATGCCATTGTGGAGATCCAGAAAGTCTTTTCCTGAGGAAGGAGCAGCAGGAGGAGAGGCACTCCTGGTTACTCCTGCTTCAGTAATGGCTGTTAGCATTCAGCAGATGCTCAAAAAACTTGGAGGGGAAAAACTGCTTCAGGTTGAGCAGGAAGAAAAAACTCTGCCTGCATCAAAAAGTAAAGAATTAAAGAAATTTGGGAATATTTCAGATGCAGATTAGGGTATTTTCAACCTAAAATGAAACATTTAAACTAGCAATTTGAAAATTTCAGTTTGTAAAATCTGTTGTGGCGATCCTCCCAAATGCAAAGTCATTTTGCAGACATTTGACTGAAACATTTCATTTTGAAAATCTCAAAACCAAGGGGGTTCCCTGAGTTTTTTTTTTAATTTTTCTCTATTTCCTTTTTAAATGAAGCTTCGAATGTTTTTCTCCAAATCCTTAAGTTTTGTCTGAAAACTGCTGTTTATTTCTACCACTATAGTAAGGTCTGAGGGGCAAACTTCTAATGGCAACTGTTTCTGGGGAAAGAAAAAAAAACAAGCTTACCCATGCAGTCTGGGCCCCAGTGTCCCTGGCAGCACTCAGGTTGTTCGAATTCCTTCATACAATGATGTCGACATCCCGGAAAAGAAAGTGTGTGTGTTTTAATTTCTAGATAATACCTGAGGAAAAGAAGTTTAAGATGTTTTAAAGTACATAAAAGCCTCCTGTGAGGAAAAATGAAATTCTTAACCTCCTCTTTGCCTTACAGTGTCAGATAAGAGCACTTTAAACTTAGTTGTGTTGATCTGTCATTTTTGCTTCATGGAAACATACATTGCACATCAAGGTCTAAAAAGATTCTTGGAGCTGTTTCTTTTGCATAGTATAAGTTTTTTTTTCCACTTCTTCTGCAAACGAAACAGCAGTTTTCTCTAGGGTTTTGATTTGAAAAAATATTTTGAAAATTATTTAATATCAAGGTTCTTTAAATGCTAACTAAGTCCTAAATAGCTACCTTTTCCTGGAAATACCGTTTATCTTTGTTTTATCTGAAAGACAAGATTTCAAATTTGTTTTGAGATATTTCTTCCTATCATTCCCCTCCCATGATTCCATAACCTGGCAGTTTGAAAAATCTGTTATTTATATGATACTATATGATATGAATTATATAAAAATATAAGTTATATGAAAATACATGATTATAATGATATTTATATAAAATTCATCTCAAGTATGCAGTATAAAAAAGAAAGTGATTTTATGATATCACTAAGGAAAATCTAATAGGCCATTGATAGAAATGTTTATTTTCCTCTTATAACATTTCCTGATTGGCTTTAGGGTAGAAATACTCTGTGTGAAGCTTGAGTTCTGGAGTTGGTGAAGCCAATGATAAACGTTCCTTAAGAAAATTGCATAGAATAGAGCATTTGTAACATGAATTAACATTTTCTAATTCATGGAGAATAATATTAATGGAGAAAAATTCTGATAGAAGAGATACCTGCAGTCTGGTATCCCGGTCCCATTGGTAATTTTGGTGTAACCAGCAGGGCACTGGGTTTCGAGGTTTAAAGAGCAAGGTACACATTTAGTTTTCATTCGAATAAGCAGCTTTTGATCACATTGCTTCTTCATCTGTAATAGGAGAGGATAAATTAAACAGAAGGAGAAAGATCTCTCAGTTGGTTTAACTCTGCCCCTGGTGGCATTGCTGAAAAATGACAAATTTAACTCCACTGCTCTCACTCACAGCCACAAG